ACGGCACCTCGGACAACGCAGCATCAGCACTGCACTGGAGTGTCAGTGTGGTCTGTGAGTCTAAAGTCCAAACCCACAACTTCCTTTGTCAGAAATGAGGGTTTGAGTGACCGAGTCAGGCTGTGCACGAGCTCACAGGGAAGAGAGGAATCCTTCTGAGCTGCTGCACTGAGACCTTCGGTTATCATAATCCTTGCGTTTGATGCGACACCAAAAGGTCTCACAGTGCTTCACAGGGAATTGATGTCAAGTGAACGTGTATTTTGGAGGCAAATACAGCAGACAATGTGCATTTAGCAATGTCTGACACACAGCCATGAGGTGAACGACCAATTTATCTGGAGGATTGTCGGCCAGGCCACCGGCAGAAACTCCCTTCTCTTTTACCAATAATGCCACTGGATCTTTAATATCTACCAGATCAGGTTCATCATCCCCAACCTCCTCCCCCCTCCACCATCAGTGGTCAGGCCTTAACTCTCTCTACCACACCTTCTGGAACTCTATCCAGAGCCCCTCTGCCTCACCACCTCGTTTCCTTCAAGGTCCGTCTGAAGGCCTTCCTTTTTGACCACGTGTGAACCCACAACCTGCTTACCCAGAAGCGAGAGCACGAGAACGTATTGGAGATGAACCCAGTAAGCCAGAGACCTGAGACAGCCCTGAAGACTTCATCACAACAGCAAGCTCCAGTTTTAATTCACAAATGTGCCAACTTTGCTCGAGGCAGGCATAGAAATAGAGACAGACATTCACAGGGCACAAAAATACAGTCAGAGACACAGCAGCAAAGGGATGGACACAGTGATATTCACACCCAACTAAAGGTCTCAACGAGATGGAGAAAACAGCGAGTCATTATAATAACAATAATAATCATCTTTGCAGTTGATTATAGCGCCTTATCACGTCTTTGAGACGTCTCAAACAGCTTCACAGAATATACTGGAAAGTGAATTGACTGTATATTTTGTGGGCGAAACGCAGCAGCCAATTGCGCACAGCAGCGTCCCACAAACAGTCGTGGATTGAAGTGACCAATTTATTATAATTTTTTTAAGGAAATATTGGATTTGCACAAACCATACACCTTGGACCATTTGGTCCAATTAGTGGTTGGACCCCAAACAAGCCTTTATCCTTCCTAATTCCCCCCCCCCCACCACCACCACCCTGCCTCTCTATATGTTTCGCCTACAAAGTACACAGTGAATCCACCTTACAATATATTTCGGAAAGCTCTTTGAGATGCCTCAGTAATGTGATAAGGTGCTATATCAAATACAAGGAGTATTATCAATATTATAAAATCAACAACAAAATTATATTTGTATAGCGCCTTTCACATTGGGAGCTGAGAGTCGGGGTGGGGGAGGGCACGGAGGGAAGCGGGGAGATCGAAAGCACGGTCGAAGAGGTGGGTCTTAATGGTAGTGAGGGAGGGGGGCAGGACGGAAGGATTGTGGGATGGAGTTCCAGAGGGTGGGTTAGGGTGGCAGAAGGCCCGCTCACCGATAGTGTAGCAAGCAAGGCAGGGAGAGGGAAGCAGGGAGGGAGGAGGAAGCGAACAGGGTGGTACAAAACGATTTGTTGTGGTGTCAGACCTTTGGACATTGTCCTTCCACCATATGTTGGTGCTCCCCCTAATTTCTATTCCTAGTTCCGTCATTGTGCGACTCCAATGGAATAAAGCCTCACCTGTTTTATTCACAATTCTCTTGGGGACAGCCCTTGGCATTCCTGCTAAGTAATTATTAAACCACTGATGCAGAACGATCGCAGAAGCCGCCCTGTGTCTTTGCGCTTAAATCCCTGCATTGTTTCTTTTAGCACGTAGCACAGAGAAGGGAAGAATAAATAATAATCCTTGCATTTGATATAGCACGTTATCACTTAACACGTCATTCACATGTCTCAAAGCTCTTCACAGAATATATTGTAAAGTGGATTGACTGTGTATTTTGTGGGCGAAACGCGGCAGCCAATTGCGCACAGCAATGTCCCGCAAACAGTCGTGGATTGAGTGAGGGATTATTACCCCCTGAAAGCCATTTGCCAATAGACTAACAACCGGATTTTTACTTACTGCTGCTACAGAGATGTGTGGAGTAAGGCAACTTGCCTAAGGTTTCACCCTGCCCGGGAATCGAACCCTAGCGTGCTAACCACTACACTACAGGACTCCATATATATATATCATACATGCCAATCGGGCTGCCTTCCCGTCGCTCTCCCTGCTGCCTCACTGAGGTGGTTCGCAGAGCGACGGATGGGTCTGGGTGCTAATTGGGAGCCCAGGGCTGAGAGCAACAGCTCATGGTGTAGCTGACAGTGCAGCACAGGCCAACCAGGCTGAACCCCACCCCACAGAGCAATAACTAATTGGCACAGTTACGGGCCGAGAACCCTGTGATGGGGAGGGTGTGCGGTGGGGGGGGGGGGTTTAAGAGTATTGCTTGCACACGTGCCTCCTGATCTCTGACCCCTGCCTGCTCTGACCCTGAAACCTGACGGTATTAAACAGGAGAGGGCGAGACGCTGACTGACTGACTGCATGTTCCCTCCTGTGTCTGAGCCAGGGTAATCCTCACTCCCACTGGAACGCTGGCTCTTTACTCCTCACGGCATCCAGATTCCCGCAGAGCCGGAGCGACGCACACGTGTGTCCACGAACACGTTAACAATGATCTCAGCGCGGAATTCGCCCCAAGACAACCACGACAACAACTTGCATTTGTACAGCGACCTTCGCACAGGCAGCAGTGTTTGGGAGATGCTGGGCGGCTGGAGTCAATGAGGCCGAGAGCGTGAGGCAGCTGGAGGAACCTCAGGAGAGTCAGCCAATGACATTGGGGTTATTCATTCGGGATTCACTGATTTCTCTGGGCTCTGTCCCCTCCCCCAGGGTATAAAGGCTTGTTCCTCTTACATGGTGGCGAGGGGAAGGGCCTGGCTGCGGTGCGAGTGTGTACAGACCATCACTGACCTTCGTCCCTCACAGGAGGCTGTGGGGATGAGATCAGCATCTCACCGGCAGGCAGATGAGTGGCAGGCTGTCCTCTCTTCTGCCAGGCTGCCGGTGACTGCCAGCGTTTAAACAAACACCAGCAACAAACGCTCCATTTGTAACCAGATGAGTCCACGCTGTTTGACACAGCGGAGCTCAGAGACGTGCGGGTGGGTGGAAAGAGACAATGTTTCCGACACATTACAGGATGCTGGCGCAATGGAACCTGTAGCCGTTAAATCAGTGGTGGCAAACCATGGCCCCTGGGGGATGGGAGGGGTGAGGGGGTGGCAAAAATATGTGACCCTCCTTTCCTCCCCCCCCACCCACGAATATTCACACGAGTCTAGGTAAGTCCACGTTCAATCAATAGCGTGGTTCCTGTTTTTTTTCTCAATTGAAGATGTCTTGATTTGCGACATAAATCACAAAAAATATATTGGCATAAATCAAGACTAATATAATAATAATCCTTCCACTTGATATAGCGCCTTCCTTATCGCGTCGTTGTAGATGTCTCAAATTGCTTCCCAGGATATACTGTAAAGTAGATTGACTGCATATTTTATTCATTTGAGAACACTTACTCTGTTGGGGCCGATCAAACAAAAGGTTGGACAACGCTGCTTTAAATGATTCATTTCGGTATGAAAATGCCAGTCATTATTATAAGAATATATATTTAAAAAATCACCAGCCCAGCCTCAGACTAGATCTGCCCCACCCCCACCCTCCCCTCAACCTCACCCCCCCCCACCCCACCCACACTCCCCAGAACAACAACAACAACAAGATTCCATTTATAGAGCGCCTTTCACGTCGGGAGGACGTCCCGAGGCGCTGTACAGTTGGGTCGGGACCCGAGCCTTGGGGGGGGGGAAACGGTCAGGGTGAGGGGAGGGGAGAGAGGGAGCGAGGAGGGGGTAGAAATCACCCCCCCCCCCACTTTCCTCTTCCCCTCTACCACCTCTCCCTCAAGATCACAAAAGACATTGTTCACAACTTATTACTGTCCCCAATGTGTGTGTAAAAAAAACAGATCGAGAGACGTGCATCAAAACAGAGAGAAACCAACATCAACACAACATGAACAGCACATCACCCAGAAAACACAGCAGAGACATCCCTTAACCCCCCCCACCCCCACCCCACCCCCCAATCCAACCTTTTAACCCAATCCAAGTGTTGTAATGGGGGTGGGGTGGGGGTGTCAGTGGGGAGAATCAGAGAGCTATGGGGAGGGGTGGGGGTGGGGGGGAGGATAGACAGGGAAGACAATGAGAGATGGGTAACCTTTACACCCCCCACCCACCCCCTCTCTCTCTCTCTCTCGGGAAGGGGGGGGGGCACAATTTCTATCTCTTTACAAAAAGCAGAGCTGTGCACAAAGCAAAGAGGTGTATGAGTGTGTGTGTGTGTGTGAGTGAGTGATGGAGCCCCTCTGCCCACTCCTCCCCCCCCACCAAAAAAAAAGAGGATTGTGTGCGTGAGATGAGCCCTCTCCTCACCTCCCCCTCCCCATAGGTGTGTGTGTGTGAGAGAGAGAGAGTGTTGGGAGCCTCCCCCCACCCCTCACACCCCAACCCACCACCCCCTCCCCACCCCCACCCACACCCCAACCCCCATCACCTCCCCACCCCACACCCCAACGCCCACTTCCTTCCCACTCACACCCAAACCCACCAACCCCACCACCCCCTCACACCCCAACCCCCACCACTTCCCCCCTCACACCCAACCCCCACCACTTCCCCCCTCACACCCCAACCCCACCACTTCCCCCCTCACACCCCAACCCCCACCTCCTCCCCACTCACACCCAAACCCACCACCCCCTCACACCCCAACCCCCACCCACACCTCCTCCCCACTCACACCCAAACCCACCAACCCCACCCCCTCACACCCCAAACCCCCCCTCCCCTCTCACACCCCAACCCATCCCCCCCCTCACACACCCCAAACCCCCCCTCACACCCCCCCCCTCCGTTACCTGCGACATGTGGGGCCTGAAGTTGACCTCCTTGAGGAGGATGGCGCCGGGGCACAGGTTGTGCAGCAGTTGGCACAGTAGGACGCCGTCCCGCAGAGCCTGAGCCAAGTCAAAGACCTGCGCGGACGGCCACACCACCCGGTGGTTCGGGGGCAGCACTTTGCAGTCGATGAGCCAACGGCCGCACTGCCTCCACTCCGGCATCCCGGGGCCGGGCCGCTCCGGCCTGGGGGAGGGGGGGGGCGGAGAGCGGGGGGGGGGACCGCCCGTCCGGAACATACAGACCCCCTCCTCACGGAGAGGGGGGGGAGAGAGCGCGGAGTGCGGGACCCGCGGACCCGCAGCCCCTTCCTCTCCGCTCTCTCCTCTCCGCTCTCTCTCCGCCGCCGCTACACTGTGTCCCTGTGGCCGCAGTGACAATGACTCCGCACCGCAACTCTGTGGCGAACCGCCCGTCCCGATCCCCTCTCACTCTCACAGTCACTCTCACACACACAGTCACTCACACACACACACAGTCTGACTGACTCTCTCTCACACACACACAGTCTGACTGACTCTCTCTCACACACACACAGTCTGACTGACTCTCTCTCACACACACACAGTCTGACTGACTCTCACACACACAGTCTGACTGACTCTCTCACACACACACACAGTCTGACTGACTCTCTCTCACACACACACACAGTCTGACTGACTCTCTCTCACACACACACACAGTCTGACTGACTCTCTCACACACACACACACACACAGTCTGACTGACTCTCTCTCTCACACACACACAGTCTAGTGACTCTCTCACACACACACAGTGTAGTGACTCTCACACACACAGTGTAGTGACTCTCTCACACACACAGTGTAGTGACTCTCTCTCACACACACAGTGTAGTGACTCTCTCACACACAGTGTAGTGACTCTCTCACACACACAGTGTAGTGACTCTCTCACACACACAGTGTAGTGACTCTCTCACACACACACAGTGTAGTGACTCTCACACACACAGTGTAGTGACTCTCTCACACACACAGTGTAGTGACTCTCTCACACACACAGTGTAGTGACTCTCTCACACACACAGTGTAGTGACTCTCACACACACAGTGTAGTGACTCTCTCACACACACAGTGTAGTGACTCTCTCTCACACACACAGTGTAGTGACTCTCTCACACACACACAGTGTAGTGACTCTCACACACACACACACAGTCTGACTGACTCTCACACACACACACACAGTCTGACTGACTCACACACACACACACACAGTCTGACTGACTCTCTCTCACACACACACAGTCTGACTGTCTCTCTCTCACACATTTACACACACACACACGCGCGTGCCCGCCCCCCCCTCCCCGCCATATCTGCACCAGGCAGAATAATAATAATTATTATTATTATCGTATCCGCACGATTCGTGCCCACCTCTGCAGTGAGAGGAGCAGAAGCGCAGAAACAGGAGGAGGCCATTCAGCCCCTCGAGCCTGTTCCGCCAATCTTTTAAGATTGCGGTTGATCTGTGCCTCAAATCCAATTACCCCCTATCTCTCAATGCCCCGACCTAACAAATATCTATACCGCGTTGGGTGTCAGCCCGGCGGCGTAGGTGGGAACACTCTCAAATCAGAGACAGGAGGCCGTGGGTTCAAGCCGCACAGCAGGAACTTGTATAATTTACGCTGACGCTGAGGTGGGGGGTAGGGAGTGTGGGGGGGGGGTGCAGGGGGTGCATCGTTGGGATAAGATGTTAAACCAAGGTCCCGTCTTTCTGTTGGATGTTAAAGATCCCACTGCACTATTTCGAAAGAGAAGGGAGTGTTCTGGCCAACAAGCCCCGAGATAAAATTGGTAACTCAATTTGATGGTCGTTTGCTGCGTAAAAGTTGGCTGCTGGGTTCACCTACAAAATACGTCACTGCAGTTTACAGTAAAACTTGTGGAGTGATTTGAGATAATAATAATAATAATAATCCTTGCATTTGATATAGCGCTTTTCACGTCGGGAGGACGTCCCAAAGCGCTTCACAGAACACACTGTAAAGTGAATTGACTGTATATTTGTGGGCGAACGCGGCAGCCAATTGCGCACAGCAATGTCCCACAAACAGTCGTAGATTGAAAATGACCAATTTATTATTGTTTTTGGTTTTTGGAGGGATTATTATTAGGCTCTGTGTGGAGTAAGGAAACTTGCCCAAGGTTTCGCCCTCTGCCTGGAATTGAACCCAAGTCTCTCGCTTGCAAAGCGAGTGCTCTAACCACTGAGCTGCAGGACTCCACGATGTTTCCCCCCCTCCCACCCTTTAAGTGAAAGGCACTGAGAGCATTCTTTTTTATTAATATCTGCAGGGTGAGTTTTTTGGACGGCCGGGGGTCTGACACGTCAGTCACTGTGCTTAAGAGTGTCCAAACCAAACTGAGTATCTGATGAATCCCACCTGCACCCGAGAGAGAGACTGTTGGAATGGGACGCGCACTCTTCTCTTCCCCCTGGAGGGGCGGATTCTGCTTACCCAGTTCCGGGAAAGTTTTAGGGCGCAGATCGGCAAGAGCCAAGGCTCGGGGAGCCCCCCCCCCCGAGCGTGCACCGTGGTAACCGTCGGGAGTTTAAACCACCTAAAGCCGCACCGCTTGCCATTTGAGAGCGCTGTCTGGCAAGCTTTCCTGACGATGCTTGCCCTGCTCGGACCACCCTATCAGTTGGAGCTTTGGCTGTCAGGGTTAACAGGAGCTGATCCTCATCCTCACCTACACGGCCATTCACGGCCTCGCTCCCTCCTACCTCTCCGACCTACTATCCCCCTACCTACCCGCCCGTACCCTCCGTTCCTCCGGCTCCGGTCTGCTCCACATCCCCCGCCCCAACCGCCCTACCATCGGTGGTCGGGCCTTCAGCCTCTCAGCCCCGAGGCTCTGGAACTCCATCCCCCAGTGCCTTCGCCTTCGCTTCCTCCCTCTCCTCCTTCAAGGCCGGTCTCAAGACCTTTCTCTTCGACCGTACCTTCAACTCCCCTCACCCTGACCATCTCCCCCCTCCTCGCCCCCTCCCTCCCCTCCCCTCTCCCTGACCATCTCCCCCCTCCTCGCCCCCTCCCTCCCCTCCCCTCACCCTGACCATCTCCCCCCTCCTCGCCCCCTCCCTCCCCTCCCCTCACCCTGACCATCTCCCCCCTCCTCGCCCCCTCCCTCCCCTCCCCTCACCCTGACCATCTCCCCCACACCCCCCCCCAAGGCTCGGGTCCCGACCCAACTGTCCAGCGCCTCGGGACGTCCTCCCGACGTGAGAGGCGCTCTGTAAATGGAATCTTGTTGTTGTTGTTGTTGTTGTCCTCAGCAGTGCCTGAGAGCCCTCAGGGACCGGACGCGAGACCGCCACGGAGGGTGGGCCCGACTCCCACACTCCGGTGCCACACACACCACCTCGGGCGCCAGTGCATCTCCGAGGGGAGACCCCCGTTCGCCTCCCACCGACAGGAGAGTGGAGGAGAGTGTCAGATACCGCCCATCCACACGGTTCAGTGCAGTATCCGCAGTGACAGGGCGGGGGACGCGGCTGTGTGCCGGGGGCGCCCTCTGGCGGCCTGAGCTTACTGCACGCGGGTGGGTGGGTGGGTGGGTGGGTGGGGGGGGCGGGGTTTAGAGCGACCGTTGCCATGGCGGCGGGGGAGGCGGTGATTGATAGGCACTGCCGTGGCGGCGGGACGAGGATTGACAGGCATTGCCATGGCGGCGGGGGCGGGGCGGGGGTGGACGGGACGAGGATTGACAGGCGTTGCCACGGCGGCGGGGGCGGGGGACGAGGATTGACCGGCGTTGCCATGGCGGCGGGGGCGGGGCAGGGGGCGGGGAAGAGGATTGACAGGCGTTGCCATGGCGGCGGGGGCGGGGCAGGGGGCGGGGGACGATGATTGACAGGCGTTGCCATGGCGGCGGGGGCGGGCAGGGGCGGGGACAAGGATTGACAGGCGTTGCCATGGCGGCGGGGGCGGGGCAGGGGGCGGGGGACAAGGATTGACAGGCGTTGCCATGGCGGCGGGGGCGGGGCGGGGCGGACGGGGACGAGGATTGATCGGCGTTGCCATGGCGGCGGCGGGCGGCGGCGGCCCGGCGTTGAGCGAGGAATGAGCGTAGGAGCGGCCGAGCCGCAGCCACAGCCACAGCCGCTGGCGGAGAAGGCGTTGTCCGAGGCCTTCGGGCGGCTGCGGTACCGCGACACGTCGCTGTTGATCTGGCAGCAGCAGCAGCAGCAGCTGGAGAGGCGGGTGCTGGGCGCGGGGCCCGGCCCGGGCCCGAACAGTTACCTGGGCAGGAGCCAGAGCCTGTGGTACCAGCGCTTCGGCAACCAGCCCGTGCTGGTGCGGGACAGAGCGCGTCTGCGGGAGGCCGAGGACCCGGACCCAGAGCTCGACCCCGACCCGGACCCGGTTCCGGGCCGCTCCAGGGTCTGCGCCCTCATGTGACGGCATCCAACCCCCCCCCCCCCCCACCCCGCCGCCCCCACCACTCCACTCGATGCTCCTCACAGCACTGAGAGCCGCTGAGAACTTTATTCAGTGTTAATTATTATCAATACTCATTCCGGACACAGCGGCGCCTGTAACTTGGGAGGCGCCTCAAGTCGCTCCGCGAGGAACCGCTGTGGAGTTTCGGCGGCGCGCGGTGTTCCTCGGTGGGACCTCCCCCACCGCCGGGACGCCGGGACGCACTCTTCTCTTCCCCGATTGCGTCAAAGGATCTTTAACGTTCGCCTGGAAAGGCGCAGATTGGGGGGAACCCGGGTTTCGAGTCTCGTCTGGAGCACGACGCCCCTCTCGACAAGGCGGCGCTCCCCCCCCCCCCCCCAGCACTGCACTGCACTCCCGGGACCGTCAGCCGGCACTGAGCTCGGCAGCCCCGCAAGAGTGGGTCTTGGAACTCGCAACCGTCTTGACCCAGAGGCAAGACCAGCTGGGCCGGGGCTGGCACTGAGCCGCACTGGCACTGAGCCAGGGCTGGCAGTGAGCCAGGGCTGACACTGAGCCGGGCTGACACTGAGCCAGGGCTGACACACTTTATTATCCCGGTTATCTGGCTTCTCTGACCCAACCGCGGTGAAGGTAAACAACAAGGTCACTTTGAAGCTGGCGGAAGAAAGCTGCGGTGGCCTTTAATCCTCTCGCAGAAGCAGCAGCCGTCAGCAGCCGTCAGCAGTCGGTAAATGGAGTTTACTCGCGTTTCGTATTGGAACAGCAACAACGTTTGAACTCACAAGTGAAACTCTACATTTTATTTATTTTCCATGTTACCCGCTGTGTATATTTGCCTATATATAAATATATATTTATGACTAAAACTGTCGCTTTACATGATTCTGCATTGATGTTCACTGCAAAATGTATGAAATGGGTCTCCTGACGCGACTTGTTGACTTGGAGAGCTGAGTGATCCACGTGCAGCTCCATCTCTGTTCAAACATTCATCAAATCAAAGGTGGTCAAGAAGTGTCATTTTTCCTCCAGTAGTGAATGTGTGTTAGGAATTTAAAAACAGATACACGAATAGACAGTTTTCTTAAAAGAAAATAACCTTTCTGGAGCAAACGCTCAAAATAGTCAGTAGCAACTACCAGTTTATTCCCAGGTATTCAATAATGAATCAGCCACCACGTCCCAAAACTGGAACGCTCTCCTTCGATCCCCTTCTTCCTCTTCAATTCGCATCTTAAGACTGTCCTCTTCAACCATACCTATGGTCACTTTCCCCCCCCCCCACCCCGGCATTGTGGTCCATCACTATCAAGGCCTCTGGGATGATCGTTGGTGTCGTGGTCCTGCAACTAAAAATGCACTCTGGTGCTGCTTGAGTCCAAAAGATGTACCAGTCCCTGACCCTAGAAGCAGTTGTAGTTATTGGATGCAATAACTGAAACAAAGGCTGGTGTGCAGTGTGAATTGTCAGTCCAGTTTTGAAGAGCGAGTTGTTGAGTGATGGCTGAATGGTTGTTGCCTCTGGGGAAACCTTTGCTGTGAACTCACAGAAGCAGTTTCTGTTTGCCAGTTCTGGAGTGTGCTGACAGACTGCAGAGCCACAGATTGGCAGGAGCAAGGCTTTAGAGAGTGGTGGTGAGGTAATCTAATAAGTGCACTCCAGATGTCTTTTCTCTTTGATCTCAGCCCATGTGGAAACCACTCTGGGTGCCATGTGTCCCCTGAAGGCTTCTGATCGGTGGACTCGAACCTTTAACATAATAATCATCGTTGCATTTGATATAGCACTTGATCATGTCATTGAGACATCTCAAAGAGCTTCACAGAATATACCGCAAAGTGAATTAATTGACTATATTTTGTGGGTGAATCATGTAACTTTCGGTGCTGCACCTTTCAGCTTCCTGAAAATAGAGATACAGGAGATGCCTGACCTCTATAGCGCAAACACTCGCGGGAAATACTGCATGTCAGAGGCGTGTGTATGTAAAGCGTACGCTTGAAGTTTATTATGAAAACCTGTGCGCCCCACAAGGCAGGCCGCACAAATGCCGGCACATCATTCTCTCGTCAGAATGTCTACACCAAAAAGAACAGGAAAAGATCAAGATACTCATGAGAAGTTCCAGGGCTGCCAGTCCAACTGGTGCACTGCTCCGTATAATAAGCAATCACTACTTCCACTCATGGCTAAAATTTCTATTAACAGTTAAAAATTAAGATAATTGTAAACAGCATTAAAAATATTCAGATTTACTGTAAACCTGCATGCATAAAAGAAAGCTGGAGCACTCCGGCAGACAGCACCGTCAGTCAGTGCCGTGTCCAACACTGGGTCAGTGACTGGCCTTTAACCCTCAGCTGCCGCAGAGCCTGAACAGTACAGCGAATGCGGTGACAAACTGACTGCTTTTTCTTTTTAAAAAAAATTAAAATATAAAAAAATTACTTTCTTATAGCTAAAAGCAACTAAGAAATCGATCAGGAAGGGAATACCTTGGACCAGACAAAATTGGCACCTTCTTTAGCCAGTGTCGGTGTAAAAAATATCTGTTGTTCTGTGCCTCTGATTTCACTTCGGGACCCAGTGGAGGTAGTGAGGAAACTATTCACTATCCTCACTGCTTTTAATTTCTTACCTCCACTTTCTCTGCATTTTCCACCCCTACCCCCCCCCACCCCCCACCCTAAAAGCCCAAACCCATTTCCTCATTTTTTTTTCTCCCCATCACATCAAACCTTCGCCTGCCTCATCCCATACCCCAGTCATTCCTAACCCCATCCGGCATTGTTCCCAATTGCCCTCAGCTCCGCCCTTGCTTTATTTTGCGCCCCCCCCCCCCCTCCCATTACCCCCCTTTCCCCCTAAATCCTTTGCCCCTCCCCCCATTTGCCACCCTCCATCCCTCCCTCCCCATGACCCATCGTAAAGTACAATGTTCCTAAGTAATAAATAGGGAGCCACAGAGACCGGCGTGGTCCCATGAGTGCCACTACGCACTGTGCAGGAGTTGACTGCTCTGATCGCTGCCGCCCACGTCAGAACGCCCCGTGCTCCTCATTACCCGGGATGTCAATAAATTAGGTATTTACACACAAACACGTGGGTCGTGTGACAGGTGATCAATATGGAACGTGCAGCCGGCCTGGGTCTCCGGTTTGGTCCGTGGTTAGGCTGTAAGATCCTGGGAGCAAGCTATAGGCCACGCAGACCTGAGCTCATCACCTCGCAGTACATGTGTACAGGGCTGCTCTGCACCTATTCGGAGTCGCTGGTGTCGGACGTGCTGGACTCGCTGGAAGTGCTGCTTCCTGAGTCCGAGGAGGAGCTGCTGGAAGCACTCAGTCGTGATGGGCCTGCATCTGTCTTTTCCGCTGGGAGACGGGGAGGGAGAAAAAGAGGGAAGATCAGACAATGAATAAGGTCCAGACAGACATCAGTGACCTCCGATAATAACTCATTATGCAATTCTCCCCTGATGGAGCTGGCCAGTGCTAGGAGACACCGCCAGGACCTCACGCAAGTGGTCATTTTACACCCAAGTATTTGTGGAGCGTTTTGGATGGGGAGGAGGAAAGAGCTGAGACAATGATCATTTTACCCAAGCTCAATCCTGTCCTCGCGCTCTCCCTTGAAAGTTCGCTTTACGTTAAGCTTTCTCCAGCTATCTTCAAATCCCTCTTAAAGCCCTTTCTATCTATGCCTTTGGCAACACCCTCAAATGTCTCCCTCTTTTCTACCCTGCTTGGTGATGCATTGTCTTTGCGAAGGACATCAAGATATCCATTGAAAGTGAAAGACACTACAGAATACACGTACACGCTATTAACATCTCAAGGCAGAGCTGTAACAGAGCCTGGGACCTCCCTGGTCCAGCCAGCCTGCTGTACACCCTTGTAAATCTGCCGAAACGTCACCCTGGCCTCCAGTTAGTACCTTTCTTGCTGGGTTTCTTGCTGTGGTTGAGTTGCCCACTCATATCCTGCAGTCTCTTCTCCAGTTCCTTCTTCTTTTCCAGCGCCATCTCCTCCTTCGTTTTTCCGACACTTTTCTTTGATGGTGCAGCTGAATCAGAAAGAGGAGCATTAATTCACTGGGGTCAGCTTGGCACATCCCAAACCGGTTTTGTATTTAAACACAGAGAAAGAGTGAGAGAGACAGAGAGAGAAAGAGGGGGGAAAGATACGTCAGGAGCAGAGACTCACAGTACGGCTTGCGCTGCTTCTTCTGCAGGCAGGACTTGACATATCGCTCAAGCTCTCTCAGGGTGCTCGGCTTCAGGGTCTCAAAGTCTATCTCAATCTCGTCGGGGTTGGAGTCTCGGAGCGAGGGTTCACGGGACTGAATGATGTGCACCACGCGGCCCAGCTTCTCACCCGGCAGCTTGTTTATGTCCAGGCTCAGCTGCCGCTTCTCGTCGTAGGACATCGGCAGAGCATCCTCCTCTTCCTCCTCCTCCTCTTCCTCCTCCCCCGACTCATAGACTGCCACTGCCGCAGGAGCCTTGCCTTTCTTCAGCGGTCTAAACACAAAGAGAAACAGCTAGGTTCACCTTATCTCACCACCCGCCTGGCATCACTGAGCTCTTCACTACCTCAGTACCACAAGGAAGTTGCACAGTCTAGCCTGAAAGTCCAGAGCATTGCTGGTGGGTATCTGCTGCAATAAACCCAGCTCCTGTCTGCCTGTTCAGGTTAATGGCGACTACTCAAAAAGAGAAGAGAATTTCTCTTCGGGAATCCTGGCCAACAATCCCCCAGATAAAATTGGTCATTCACTTCATAGCTTTTTTTTTCACATTGCTGTAAGCGCTGTGGGACACTACTCTGCGTGAGGGCTACGATATAAATGCAAGTGGTTGTTGCGAGGGCATTTAGCTGCCACGTTTGCCTACAAAATACAGTCAACAGATTTTACAGTAATTCCTGTGAAACGCTTTGAGGCGTTCTCCAGACGTGAAAGGTGGTATATCAAATGCAAGGATTATTATTATTATTATTAATAAATGTATCTGGCCAGGCTGTGCTCAGTGCTGTGTAGGCTGTACGTACCTGGACCCGCTGCTGCTGTTGGATTTCTTGCTATTTTGCCGCTTTAATTGGGGAGATTTGAGCCCGGCCGAGGAAGGCTTGACCTTCTCCTCCTCCCCTTTGACCTTTTGTTTCTCTTTCTCCTTCTTTTTCTTCTCCTTCTTCTCTTTCTCCTTCTTCCTCTTGGGTTTGCTGACGGGCGCCTGCGACAGGGCCGCCAACTGTTCGTGGACGGCCTTTAGCTGACGACAGACACATCAACTTCAACATTCTTTTGGTTGGATTTCACCTCTCCTCCCCTTCTCATCCAGCTCGCCCGCTCCCCTCAGCCACATTGGGTATGACTCCACGAGTGCCCCCAGACCCTTCAATCCCTGGACCCTTGGCTCAAATTCAGATGCTGTCCGTCGCCCAGCCCGCACACTATCCCCAGAGATATTGTTCCAATCACTGTCCCGTGGACTCTTCACCCCAATCCATACAATCTCCCTGGAGGAGCCCTCGCCCCATCACTGTTCGAACCCCTCACCCCTAATTGTCACCCACTGTCCCGCGAACTCCTCCATTGGGCCCATGAACCCCTCAGCCCAAATCTGACACCATTTTAAAAAAAGGTGTTTGTCTCAAAATTTTGAAAAGAGAAAATCTAACAGTTGAGACAGAGGGTGGGAACTTTCATCCCTAATTTACTAACATTCTCCAACTATGAGCTGGACACGATTACACACTAGTAGTCTCTATACTGATAATGTATTGGATTGGACATCTGCCACATCGTTTTCCTGTTGTGTGGACAGTAGTTACAGATAGAGATATTGCAAAAGCATTAGTTAAGCAACAGGATGTGTCCTGACCAGCACTGTCTGTTAACTGGCTCTATCTGTGATTCGCATGGAGTGACCAGGACTCACACCATACAGCAAATGCTGCTGTTTGGGCCCCTCTCTGTAGAGATGCTGGAACCCAAATAACTGCAGCGTTTCTTTCTGCGCACAGTCCCTCAACACTCCGCTTTTCAAACAGACCTCTCAGACAAAGGAGAACAGATTGTGGAAGCAGGCTACAAAATTAAGACTTAATTTAAGAATTTTCCAAACTTCTGCGCAATCTTAAATTTTAACACAATTGTCCTGAGGTTGAGACCAGGAGATGTTTATGATCTTGGATGTGCACTTCTGCCTCTGGCAGTATGGGACAGGGCGCAATGACCACAGGCTGGGACTAGGGGGAGGCGCTGCTGTTACATACGGACAAAACAGGTACAAACAATACACATTTTAAATAAGAGAGTTTGATGATATCTACCATTCTCCTTGGAATCGAGGGGTTTCCGCGACCCACCTGCTCCTGCAATTCCGCCAGCCTATTCGCTCGCTCTTCTTCCGAGTCAGAGCTGTTGGAATTGGACGAACTTTCCCGACTGGTGTTGCTCGAGGAGGAGGGTTTTTTGGGGATGGCGGGAGATGGTGGTGGAAGAGGAGCAGGCACCTCCACCAGATCGTCAGGTATCTTAGCAAACTTCATCTCAAAGACATCCTACGTGTGAAACAGAACACAACGAAGGTCAGTTACCAAACCAGAGAATGCAGCTTTGCAACTGCACTACATTCAGATTACAACACAATTCTTGCAATGCCAGTGTCACTGGGCTGTGTAATGATTTTCAATGCACAACACAGGTGTATTAAATAATACCTTTATTTCCTACTCCCAACAATCCAATACTTCAACCATCAACCCACACCGATTGTTCTCCCAGAATTCCTTTTCATACTTCCTGCTCTTCTTTCATTGTTTTCCACTTAATTGTCTATTTACTCTGAAAGAGTTATCGAACATCTTCATAAGTAATTTTTCTTTTCGTTTCCTCTTTCTTCGGTGCCTCAGTCCAGTTCGATCAATTTTTTAAGAATCTTTTTACTGCTCTTCCTGACCTGGTAATTCCTGATGTTTCTGCCACCCCCCAATCTGCTCTTTTTCTTCCTCCGCTGTTCATTGATGGATTTTCAATGACGTTCTTTTATATTCATTTCTTCTTCATTAAACTCATTTCGTTTCTCTTTTTATTTCAAGATCCATTGCTCTTTTTCTGCTTCTTTCTTTGATCTTTTCCCCCCATTTTTCAAACTTTGATCGTTTGATCCTTTACTTGAATAGACCCAGTTCTTTTCAGCTTCATGAACTCTTCACACTCTGACCTCAAAACTCCAGGACTTCTTCCTCTTCTCTCCTCCCTCTGTCTGAGGATCATCGCTTCAATCAAATGCTCGTCTTCCTCATCACTAATAGAGGATTCCTGCTCAGAGATGTTCCAGTATTCCATGTTGCCTTGATCGTACTTAATCTATCTTGTTCTTTGCTGCTTGCTTGTCCTTTTGTAATCTTTCCATCCTGGCAGCCTTTTGTCTTGTGTTCCTCTTGCATTGCTCCTTAAAGGTTCGTATTGTCTACTGCTGCATCGTCTTGCATACACACACACACCACTCCTTTCCTCTGCTGGACATCTCCATAAAGGATGCGGTAACCCACATTTCTCACAGGTATCCTTTACATTTGGTTGCCCTCTAAACCTGTATGTCTTCTGTATTCTATATTCCCCGTCTATGTCCTTACAGCTTCTTTTTCGATCTAGTTCATCAGTTTCTGTGTCTATTTTTACTTCTTTCTAAATGTCTCTTGTGTGTTCTGGACATTTCTTACACACACTTATTATCTGTAGCTCTGTTTGTAGTGTTACAGTCTCATATTTCAGGAACTTGCTGCACATTTTATTATTTTTTATTGATTATAACCTGATCCTTAATCATTCCTTCTCCATATTTGCATGTTTTACTTAAAGATCGTAATACTGCACAGTACTGGTGAAATTATTCCATAGGCCCTTTGCTTCCTTGTTCCAAACTTATACCTTTCTATTGTAACATTGTTTTGTCCATAACATCACTCACATATATATAATAGTCATATCATCCACATGGCATGTTCACATCTCTCTCCAGAGTTGCAAAATATTCTCTTGCATCTTCCCCCGCCACACTCTGGACAATAACAGACTGCTGCCATTGCCGTACATTTGAAGCAATCGGAAAGATTTCAAAATCCCATTGAAACCATTGCCAATTGTGCCTTAAATTGCCTACCAACTTCAATGGTGGCTGTACTTGCACATACCCCTCTGGTATTGCACCCAATTCTGTCTCATCAACATCGAGGCCCTGGATCACTGCAGCTTCTGAACATACTGAAACCTCTCCAAATCTGAAGCCATTAACATTGCAACAGCATTAGGGGAAATTTTATACATTGCAAACTGCCACAGGCACAGGGATGTAACCAATACACGTTCAGAGTGCATCTGTGGGTATAGGGGTTGGGGTTGAGGTGGAGGGGGTCAAAATAAGCACGCACCTGCACTCTGTGCCTCCCGCACCTTGCGTCGGCAGGTGACTGTGCAGGAGGTCTCAGTGCTAAGCTGCATCCTACCCCTCGCAGCATCGTGAGCAGACACAACACTCGCCATCTGTTACAACTCTATTCAATTCCAAGCAATAGTATGAGATCCAATCCATTGTACAGCTACCTAATGGGAGTAAATTGGAAATGGTTTGCACCATGGGAATTCTTGGCTTGGATAAGGCTGTGTTTAGCTGCGTTTACTGAGTCAAAATGAACCAGTCAGCCACAGCACAATAACAACATGCATTTATATAGCGTCCTTCATGCAGTGTAGCATCTTGGAGTGCTTAACAATGGCAGAGCCTGACACCAAGGGGAGGAAGGGAGGAGGTGACCGTAAGCATGGTCGAAGAGGAAGGTCTTCAGACGTAATCTGAACATGGGAAGGAGGGGGAAGGCGGAGGGATTGAGGGAGAATGTTCCAAGGTTTCGAAGTGTAGTGGAGCGGAGGGGACAAGAGACAAGCAGGAGGCCGGAGCTAGCCGTGCAGAGGTGGGGAGTAAGCAGGTCAGAGAGGTAGGGAGGTGCCAGGGCATGAAGGGATTCATATGAATTAGATACAGAGTAAAGCTCCTTTTAGATTTCCTAGCCTCAGTCATCAATTTTGGGCTGAATTCTGAGTAGTTCTGTGTGAAGTGTTGAACCCAGTTTAACAGCAGGGACGGTTCCACAGGCCATTCTTCATGTGTAAATTCAGACGCTGAGTAATGACTGGCTATTCGACATCCAGGACATCACAGTTCAATCCTGTCCTCACCCCACATCCCGACACTGGACAGTGATCAGGAGCAAAAATGTTGCTGGTTTTCACCTCGGTATCTCAGAGATACAAACGCCAATTGAAGTCCCAGGTGGTTTGGCTGATTTGAGCAGTAAATAATAATCATAATAATCGTAATAATAATCCTTACATTTCATATCGCACCTTTCACGTCAGGAGGACATCTCAAGATGCTTCACGGGAATAATAATAATCCTTGCATTTGATGTAGCGCTTTATCACGTTGTTCAGACGCCTCAAAGCGCTTCACAGAATATACTGTAAGTGGATTGACTGCGTATTTTCGGGGCAAAACGCGGCAGCCAATTGCGCACATCAGCGTCACACAAACAGTCCTGAATTGAATGACCAAATAATTTTTTAATAGTGTAAAGTGTCGAGACTGTATTTTGTAGGCAAACGCGGCAGTGAATTGGCACGGGGCTACTCTGGAGCAGGAGTCTGGTAATGAGCAGCAAGTACCTGCAGCTTCCTGGCCATGGCCACCACCTCGTGATCAGGAGGGTTGTATTTGTAGCAGTTGGAAAACATTAAACGGATATCGGCAGCAAAGCCCTGTGCGTCCGGGTACTCCCGGACATCCATCTTCTTCTGCAACAGACACACAAGGCAAGATAAAGACCCGGCAAAGCCCAGAGAGGAATCACATGAGCACAACAACAACTTGACAGTGGTTGAGCAAGATGCGAACTGGGGTCTGTAGGCACGTTCAAAGCAGGACCCAAATTACCACCCAGGGTCGAAGGTCACAGATCAGACCCACAGTAAGTTTTAAGAAAATGCAGTTTCCGAACAATTCAACATTTTAATCTTTTCTTCCACTGTGTTTACCTTCAACACAGGGGGACAAATGGTTGTTTGCCTCCTCCACCCAGTCTCCACTACTGATTGATTCTTCATCTTCTCCCCACCTTGTTTCCAAATGCTAAGTGAGCAATTCGCACCACGCAAAATAATAAATCTTGTATTTGATATTACCTTAACACGAACTGAGAGTTCCGTGCATCCCACCTGCACATGGAAACTCCAGAGATATGAACACATTGAAACATCTCATAACTCTTCAAAGTAATTACTGTTCAGTGTACTGACTGCGTATTTTATAGGGAAACACAGCAGCTAATTTCCACACAGCAAAATCCCACAATAATTTATCTGGAGCACTGTTGGAATCCTCCTAAATAGCTCCCAAACACGGCAGCCAATTGCGTACAGCAGTATCCCACAAACAGTCGTGGATTGAGTGTCCAAAGTATTTTTTTTTTTTTGAAGGGTTTATTACTCCTGGAAAGTGATGTGCCAATCGACTAACAACCAGGTTCCTACTTACTGCTAGGTAAACAGAGACCAATGCGGGGAGAAAGGTGTCTCAGAGGAGAGAGAGAGACTTACTTTCACGGTGCTGAGGTCCATCGGATGTTTGATGATTTCATGATAGTCATGCAGTTCCAGGGCATCTGCGTCCACGGGCTTGTAAAAGGGCCAGGCGTAGGCTGCATGCTTCTTGCTGAGCATTTCCTTCAGGATGACATCACAGTGCCTCAGGTGCTCGCTCAGTTTGCTCTTCTTCCCCGAGAGGTGCTGAGGCTCCACATCCTCCAGGTCCTTCCTGGGCGCTTTTATTGGCCGTCCACTCTCTCGTCGCGAGAGGATCTTGGCTGACCTGCACTCGGACGGTGGGGGGGACTCGTCACTGCCCGCAGCCGTGATTGCCGAGGTGCTCGGTGTCGTCGTGTCAGCTTTCCGTTTCACGCCTTTTTTCTAAAGCAGAGAGAAATGGGTCAGGACACTCACCCTGCTTGCCATGGTTCCAGTGGCTAAGCTCCAGAACCATAGAATTTACAGCACAGGAGCAGGGCATTTGGTCCGGCATGTCTCTGTCAGCTCTGAAAACGCTATCCATTTAGTCCCACTTCCCTACTCTTCCCACCTGTATATTGTTCCATTCACATATTTATCTAATTCTTTTTTGCACCGTTACACACGCACACACACACACCCTGTAACACAAAACACCCTGCAAAAATAATTCATGCTAAATATCCTGCGCCACACAAACACACCCACATTGTAGGCCCATTAACATCTACTGTCTCATACAGACCAGTTCTTGGGTACTTCTTGGTCTCTAGTGTAGGACCGAATACTTCCATGGCATCAACAGCACAAAAACAACAGACATAAGATCGTGCACTTAGTTTTTGAACTCTCTACATCCTCGATGCAGTTGCTAACCTACCTAGTACAGCAAACACCGGCCTCAGAACACCACAGTTACCTTGGTGATGCGCTGTGCCGGAGATGGGATGACTGGCATCAACAGATTTGATGCCTTGGGAGGGAGCGAGGCGATATGGGTAGGAGTGATGGTCGGCGCAGGTGTAGAAGTGATGATGGTCGGCTGTGGTGCATCGGGCACAGAGCTCCGGAACGTGACAGGCTGCGTCGCTGAAGATATGGCTGCAACTTGCTGCATTCCTGCAAAGAAAAGTTAACTGTCACATGCCAGGCACCAAGAGTATTTCTTCTGTATGCCCTTGCCTCTCTTTATGTGAGGGGTGGAAGTTACCTGCACAGGGATATCTACCAAGTGCCATTGGAAGGTGTGAAGAGGAATTCCCTCCCTAGTGACACCCTCCCTCCTCCACCATGATGCTCTCACTAAGATTTGAAAATCTAGAGGTAGATCTTGACCTATCATCTGAAAAACAAAGCATTTTGCTGCGCTGCATACTCATATATAGGGTCATAAAGGGAAGGTGCAGTAGTAAAGACGAGAACAAACAAATATCCATTGCATCCAAAAATCTGTTGCAGGTTCTCTGAAGTTTACCACGTGCAAGACATTTGGTGTACACACCTGCAGGCTTTCGCCCTTTGCCCTTGGGCGCTGACGGCACCAGTTCCACTTCATCCTGAGGCATCTGAGCCACTTTCTGCAGGAAAATCTTCTCCAGTGCCTGGGCCATCAACACAATGTCATCACCGGGCTGCAGGAGAGGAGAGATCAGTAGAATGAGACACAACTCTGCCTACATCTTGTTCAACTCTATAATTGTAGTGGATTGAGTGATCAAGTTTTTAAAAAAAAAACTTTTTTGAGGGATTATTAACCCCGGAAAGCAATCCGCCAATCGATTAACAACCGAGTTCCTACTTACTGCTACTGCTAGGTAAACAGAGGCGTGTGGGGCAAGGAAACCTGCCTATGGTTTCGCCCTGCCCGGAAACCTGGGTCCTCTAGCTTGTGAGGCAAGCGTGTTAACCACTATGCTCAGGGACTCTGTAGATGCAGAGGCAGTACCTTGTTGTAGATGTAGCAGTTGGTGAACATGGTGTTGAAGTCCTGCATGCATTCGTTTGCACTCCAGTAATAGTGGTTCTTCAGTCTTTTCCTGATGGTTCCCATGTCCATCGGCTGCTTGATGATTTTATGGTAGTCCTGCAAACACAAAAAGATTCAGAAAACTGCACTCCTTTAGGAAAGAGGCTCCGGGAGATACAAGATCCAGCAACTAGTTGTACAGTATGTGCCTTTCACATAACAGAACGTGTCTAAAAAATGCTTGTCGAGATCTAGTGGTGGACACCAAGCGATGAATTGATAGAATTGAAGATATTGACCAAACGCAAAGGTAAAGAGATTGTTTTTTTTAATCAGGCTTCTGAAAGCAAAGAGACGACACAGTTTGACTGAGAGTTCCAGAAGACAGGGACAAGTGGCTGAAGGCTTGGCCACCAGTAGTAGAGCGAAGAGCAAGCAATTGATCAGAAATGGAAGACAGAGTGCAATACCCATGGTTAAGAGCAATGGGTCAAGGATTAAAGCTGACACTGCAACGCCAAAACAACAGGATTCTCTGCTGCCGTTTATGCAATGCTCCAGAAGTGTGCGTTTTCTTGACTTGTGTTGTTTTCTCTTGTGCTCTTTCCAACACTTGGGATATCTCTGATACATTCCTGGGTCCGACCACGGTTTCTCAAAACAAAATCAAATTCAGGGTCAGGTTTAATCTGCTCACCAGGTAAATAAAACTCCACAACAGCTGCCCTAAATCCAGTGTTTAGCAGATCAAGCATGTTGCTGGCTTGGAATGGGAATGGGATAGGAAGTATAGGTGGAAGCAGGTTTGGATTGATCTGTTGATGAGTAATGGGGCTTCCTGTCATACACAGGGTGTGAAGACTGACTGGGCACTAAGCTCGGTGTCCTGATCATTACCCAGATTTTTTTTTTAAATAACTGCAGCAACAAGAGGTCCCAAACCATTCAATCAAAGAATTCAATTCCCAGATGTACAAAGTTACCAGTACTGTAGTAAGAAATGAGGGCTTACTGGCAAGTTGAGCTTAACAGCATCAACGGGATGATGGAAGGGCCAGGCGAACTGGTGTTTCCACAGGGTCTTCACCACCCCTTTCTGCATGTATTGGAGCTGGTTTGTCATGCGGCCGGGCTTGCTGGGGTTCATAACCTCTGGGGATGAAGGCGCAGCAATGACAGGAGCAGCAGGCTGGGGAGATGGAGTTGCTGATTGTACAGATGACATTGGTGAACACTCAATCACGTGGTACATCAGCGGTAACGTCCGGGCATCTCTCTTTGCTCCAAGCTCCTCAGATCTGACACCAATCCCATTTCCAACCTCTGCCTCGGACGCTGTGCAAGAAAACATAACATAAGAGGGAAATAATAACCCTTGCATTTAATACAGCGTCTTATCACGTCATTGAGACGTCCCAAAGTGCTTCACAGAATTTCATGGAGATTGGATTGACTGTTTATTTTGTGGGCAAAACTCAGCAGTTAATTGTGCACCACTTTAAAATTTTGCGAGCCAAAAAACATACCCTTCATCAATTAATTGACATCAATCACTGGGTGCAAAAAGCATGGGACAGGGTTATGTTTGTGAGTGTATTGAGGAGGTGTGAGAAGATAAGGCAAATTCTAATTAGGATACTAACAGCACGCAGTTGTCAGCCTGGCTGAGTTGAAGGATTCTCGCCTCTGAATCAGAAAGTGATAGATTCAAGACCCACGTTGGGACTTTGAGCTCATAGTCTAAGTTGACCCTCCAGTGCAATATGGAGTCCTGTAGCTCCGTGGTTAAGAGCACTCGCCTTGCAAGCAAGACACCTGGGTTCAATTCCACGCAGGGGGAAACGTTAGGCAAGATTCCTCACTCCACACGCCTAATAATAATCCCTCCAATAAAACAAAAACATTAATAAATTGGTCATTTTCAATCCACGACTGTTTGTGGGACACTGCTGTGCGCAATTGGCTGCCACGTTTCGCCCACAAATATATGGTCAATTCACTTTGCAGCATAATCTGTGAAGCGCTTTGAGATGTCTAGAAGACGTGAAAAGCGCTAGATCAAACGCAAGAATTATTATTATTATAATTAATGTTGGGGGAGTGCTGCATTGTCACTCATTCGGATGAAACTTTAAACCGAAGCATTCAGGCGGACATTAGAGATCCCATGGCACTACACAAAAAGAAATGGGAGTTTCTCCTCGTGTCCTGGGCAACAATCCACCAGATAAAATTGTTCATTCACTTTATGAATGAACGTGAGACATTGCTGTGCACAAATCGGCTGCTGCGCTCACCTACAAATACTCAGTTACTGCACTTTACAAGAAATTCTGTGAAGTGCCTTGAGATGTTTCAACAATATAATATTTGACAGCACGATACATAAAATGCAAGGATTATTATTATTATTAAATCAGGAAACTGAGTACAGACACAAATTAACACCTCAACAAATATCCTGACTCAGGGCAGCAACTCAGCCAGAGATTTTCTGATCTGCCCCACCAGCTCAGCGGGGATGGGTGGCAATTCTGAAGGGAAATATCGCATTGCTTGACAGCACAAACACATCACATCACTTGGTGTCACAGAAATGACACAAAACACAACTCTCAGCACAGACAGGTCTCTCGGCGTCTCGTGCGTTTGCAAACACTCAGGGTTCGGGTAGGGAAGGAAGCGCTTAGGAAAACAAAGCCTGAGGTTGTGCGTGTGTGTGTGTGTGTGGGGGGGTGTGTGGGTGTGGGTGTGTGGGGTGTGTGTGGGGGGTTGTGTGTGTGTGGGGGGGTGTGTGGGGGTGTGTGTGGGGGGTGGGGTGTGTGTGTGTGGGGTGTGTGTGTCTGTTGGTGGGTGTGTGGGGTGTGTGTGTGGGGGGGGGTGTGTGTGTGTGTGGCTGGGTGTGTGTGTGGGTGTGTGTGTGTGCGTGTGGCTGGGTGTGTGTGTGGGGGTGTGGGGGTGGCTGTGTGTGTGTGAGAGATGTGTGTGTGGGTGTGTGTGTGTGGGGGGGTGTGTGTGGGGAGGGTCTGTGTGTGTGGGGGTGTGTGTGGGGTGTGTGTGTGTGGGGGTGTGTGGGGGGGTATGTGTGTGGGGGGGTCTGTGTGTGGGGGGGTCTGTGTGTGGGGGGGGTGTGGGGGGGTCTGTGTGTGTGTGTGGGGGGTGTGTGGGGGGTCTGTGTGTGTGGGGGGTTGTGTGTGTGTGGGGGGGTCTGTGTGTGTGTGGTGTGTGTGTGGGGGGGGGTCTGTGTGTGTGTGTGGGTGGGTGTGTGTGTGTGGGGTGTGTGTGTGTGTGGGGGGGGTCTGTGTGTGGGGTGTGTGTGTGGGGGGGGTGTGTGTGTGGTGTGTGTGGGGTCTGTGTGTGTGTGGGGTCTGTGTGTGGGGTCTGTGTGTGTGGGGTGTGTGTGTGTGTGGGGGGTGGTCTGTGTGTGGGGTGTGTGTGTGGGGGGGGTGTGTGTGTGTGTGGGTGTGTGTGGGGTCTGTGTGTGTGTGTGTGGGTGGGGGGTCTGTGTGTGTGTGTGTGTGGGGGGGGGGGGGGGGGGGGAGACCAGCTCAAACATCAGGAAGTACAGTTTACTCGAGTGGTAACACGGAGGCGGGGAGTGGAGGGGAATGTAGATTCGCCCGCTCTCTGCCTCCTGACAGGAAACCGCTGGCTCCCCGGTCAGTGAGCACCACAACAACAACAAGCCCTCGGCGCCCCCCGCCCCCCCCCGCCCGGCCCGGCCCCCCCGGCCCGGCCCGGCCCGCGCTCTCAGAGCAGAGGGGGAATCGGTGGAAAGACCCCGCCCGCACTATCCGCGCTGTCAAACTCCGGGGCGCCCCGCGGAAGAAACTTTTATTATTGAGTGATAACGACTGACTGGAGGGGAGAGAGAGGGCAGATCGGCGGCTATGGACGGGCGCGGGGAGACTGCAGCTCGCGTACCCCAGTCTGGGGTCCGCTGGAGGGGGAGAGGTCCCGATGGGAGAGACTCCCACCTATTCCCGCCAATGAGCCCCGGACCTTTCTTTCCATTCATTCATTGGGAGCGCGGGGGCAGCGGGCGGGCGGGCGGGCGGGTCGGTAGGCGGGAGGGGAGGCCCCGGCCTGAGCTCGGGCCCTGGCGCCGAGTCTGACAGACACAATGCAGCGGTCGCTTATGTTAACAGCGCTTAAGATACCGCGAGGGCCCGGGCCTGGCGCGGCGGCCGCTCCTCGGGCTGGGCCTCGGCCCGGGCCCGGGCAGCGCCGCGAAGGTGAAGCAGGTAAAATCCCTACTTGGCCGCCGCTCGGCTCGGCTCGGCTCGGGCTCCGCGCGCGCTCTCCTCTCGGCTCCTGCCTCGGCTCTCCCGCGCTTGCGCGGCGCCCGGGGCGGGCCGGGAGCTGTAGTTCTGACGGGTGGGTGGGGGCGCGGAGCACGCCGGGAGCTGCAGTTCCCCGCGGCGGCGCTCAGTCTTCGGCGCCGCGGCCTGCGGACTCCGGCCCCCAGCCTGCCCCGCGCGCGCGCAGGCGCAGGCGCACCGCTCCGGTCGGCCAGGTGAACGCCGAAGAAGAGGCGCGCGGGAAAAGGTGGAGAGGGAGGGGTTCGGGTGGGGGGGAAGCAGCAAAATGCAGAAACACGCCCGCGTTGCCGCCCGCTGCTGCATGCAATCGGGTCGGAGCGGCGCTTCGGTGTTTGTGCATGTGTCCCGGCCCGTGCCTCCGACCGCCTTCGGCGAGTTCGGCATTTGCTTGAGGTTGGGTTGTGCGCCCGGAAGGAGGAGGAGGAATTCCTGTGACTTTTTCTGTTCTGTTACCCCCTCCCCATCCTTTGCTGGTTTTGCTCCCCGTCGCTTTGTCTTTAGGTTTTGTTTTAAATGCCGGGTATTTGCACGGGTCAGGCCCGGGCCCGGAGGCGAATCATCCGTCCGGTGCTTTTGACGTGTGCAGATTGCATCAGGGCGGCCCCTTAAAAGGTGGTGCTTTTTTTTTTTCCGGTTTGAGGGGGTCGAGGGGGGAAATGAACCTAAAAGAGAGCAACGCTTCAGCATCTGGGAAATGAGGAAGATCCGATGGGCCTTCACAGCAAATCTTGTTAAAAGTCCTGGTTACTGGGGGGAGATTCTGTCTTTTACTTTCTGGCACAGCTCTGCATCATCATCATCATCATCATAATAATAATAATAGTCTTTGCACGTGTTCCTTACAAGACAGTCACTACACCTTCCATGGAATAATAATCCTTGGCACGGTGTCTTTTAATGTCTGGAGGATGCCTCGCAGGATATACCGTAAAGGTTAGCGCCCACTCTGTGGGCAAAGGTGGCAGCTAGTGTTTCGCACAGCGCTGGTCCACGGATTGTCGGGAGGGACACTCGGGAGGCGGAAACTCGCTTCTCTTTTCGAACAGTGACACGGGATCTTTAACATCCACCAGAACAGGCAGACACAACCTTGTTTTAAAGGGTCATCCAAAGGATGCGTCTCCCAACAATGCAGCGCATTCCCAGCCGTCCACTGAAGTGTCAGCCTAGACTTGTGAGTTCAAAGCACCAACGTGGGGCTTAATAAATAATAATAATAATACTCGCATTTGGTACAGCGTTTTTCACGTCGGGAGGACGTCCGAAAGCGCTTCACAGAACACACTGTAAAGTGAATTGACTATATTTGTGGGCGAACGCGGCAGCCAATCGCGCACAGCAATGTCCCACAAACAGTCGTAGATTGAAAATGACCAATTTATTACTGTTTTGTTTTGGAGGATTATTATTAGGCTCTGTGTGGAGTAAGGAAACTTGCCCAAGGTTTCGCCCTCTGCCTGGGATTGAACTCGGGTCTCTCACTTGCAAAGCGAGTGCTCTAACCACTGAGCTACAGGACTCCACGCTTAACCTGAGTCAGAGGTGAGAGTGATACCAAATCAGCCGACTGATACTTTGTTGAGGCTTGCCACCTAAATCCTGTGGAGGAAACACTTTGAGATGTCCTGACATGAAAGGTGCTGTAATTAGACACAGGGATTATCGTTGTTATATATCCCTCTGTAATGTTTCTAAACGCTTCCCAGGATTTTATTCAGAACAAATCTGCGGAAACACTACTTCAGTGAGCGAGTAGTAAACTTATGGTCAGGCTCCCCTAGGGAGATGGTGGAAGCAGAAAGTGTTGTTTGTTTCAAGAACAAATTAGATGATTTCTGCTAGAAAATAATATCTTGGGATACAGTTTATAGTTTGGAACACAATACAAGGCAAACTCGGTAGACCGTGGTCTTTTACCTTGCAAATTCTTCTTATGTGTTGTGCTGAATTTGCTGTTCAACTGCAACAAACGTCGAGGAGTTTGCAGTGGCTCCTGTTGTTGGTTCTGCCCTTTGTAAGGGGTAGTTAAATTCATGACCCTATGGTGAAGTGAGGACTGACAAATGTTGTACAATTAATCAAGGTTTATTAATTCAGATTAATAATGGTGATACATAATTAAAAGAATACATCCTTTAATTACTTGGTTTGCGACTCCCAAGTTCCAATTTCTTTATTTCTTCTTCCCATTCTTTCTTCTGATTCTCTTTTTGAATTGATTTCCGTTTATACAGTTAGGTAGGTAACCTTTCACCTATTGTCTTTTGCAAGACGGTTCTTTTTTTAAAAAAAATGCAACACAGTTCTCTCCCATGTTAAAACAGCTGCAGACTATTTTTCGATGAGAAAATGACTGATAAGGAATGAAAACAGTTTGTTGTTTATAAACAGTCTTTCATTTCTCACCCTTGAGAAAGGATCTCCTGCGAAGCTAATCAGAACCGGGTCCCATCATATCTTCTGAGATTGGTTATAAGTCTCAAAAATATAAACATGACAAATATAATTTGAGATATTTAACACGTTATTTACAGAATCCTATACCTTTCCATTTTAGTTTTTTTTAAATAAGATCCTACTGTATCTGCTACCCTGATCAGAGGGAATACAGTTTTATTTATCAGGCAAAAAAGCACAAAATTCAAATGCTAGCAAGCTTTAACATTTTTTTTGGTCAGATGAATAATGTGGAAACCCATCACCATGCTTAAGAGTACCCAAATCAGATTCAGAGTTCCACATATGCCTGCACCCTGCACATGGAAATTGCCCTGTGTCTGGAAAGGAATGTGCTCTATTCCTTGAGAGTATTTAGTGCAAGTTAGCAAGAGCAAGGCTTGAGGACTCCAGAGTATGTGTTATAGTAATGCTGGAGTTCAACTAAATCACATAGCCTACCAATGAGATCACTGTCTGGCAAGCTTCCCGCTTCTTGTACAGTTAGGACCACCCCTACCAATTAGAGCTTTGGCTTGCAGGGTTAACAGGCAGTGAGTGGGAAGAATCCCTGCTCTCAGCGGTATCCACCTCCAAATCCTGCTGATGAACCAGTCTGGCTTGTCTGGAGTCTCGCCTGGCTCAGGAACCAGACGACTGAGACTGTCATAGAGGATTGTCTAAATTCTAAGTGACTGGATTTGCCCCTCCAACTCCTGCTGGACTGTTATTAGCAGTGCGGACCACCCAGGCTTACTAACTGTATACCAAGACTGCCTCAGAGGATCGACTCGATTCTGACATTTCATTACTGAGCACATCACTCCGGCGCCAGTTCAGCTAAGGAGCTTATTTGTCACCCAATAAGTGCAGGTGTGAGGCCTCACAAGGTGGAATTGCAAGTGCGAGGAACATCCATTGGCGCTTCCCGGTGAGCGGCGCAGCTCAGCACGAAATCCGTGAGAGCACTGCTTGCTGTGCAGCTGCGTGCAATTGGCCGCCGCATTTCTCCCACAAAATATACAGTCCGCTCGCTGTGTACGGTGTATTCCGTGAAGCACTTTGAGACGTCCCTAAGACGTTTGATAAGGCGCTACATCAAATGGAAGGATTATTATTATCATCATCATCATCATCTTCCTGCCCGCAGCTCGGAACGCACGTCCCTACCCAGCGAGCGACGATTCCGCCTGTTGGAACAGCGCAGCTTGAGGTAGCCGCTGCTTAGGTGGGACCTTCCAACGGCCTCGGATATTTCCTCGTCGGGTGACCTGATGGACGCGGGCCTTCAGCGTGGCCAGGGGGACCCTTACAGGGCAGCTTGTGACCTTGAGTGTTGTGGAGGTTAAGCCCAATGCCCTGTGCCAGGCTTACTCAGCGCCAGTTGCTTAATCCAGGTCCTCCTGCCATTGGCAAACAGACATGTCCGACATGACACCGACACTGCCTCCAGGGTCAGCTGTCTCTCTGCACTGAGCCGCCCTCTGGGGGGATGGCGCTGTGAGTATGAGGAGACGCCACTGGGGGGTGTGTGAGTGTCTGTGTGTGTGTGTGGAGCCGCCGCCGCCACCACTTGGTGGCGCTGTGACCGTGTGCGGAGCCGCTGGGCGGTGAGGTCGCTCTTGTCCGCGCGGTGGCTCGTCGGGCCGGGCTGTGCGCATGTGTAGTCGCCGCTCCCGCCACATCCCCGCCGAGCGGCCACTGAGCGAAAGCGGCCCCGGGGCCCCGCGTAGGCCCAGGCCCGACACCAGCAGCGGCACCAGGTAACGCCGCGCCGAGCCGAGCCGCGCCGGGTAAGGGGAGACGCTTCGCTCTGACCGAACCGGAGAACCGCCCTCTTTTTCCCGGCGCTTGTAGCCGGGGCCTGGGCCCCGCCTCAGTTACAGTGCGAGGCCCTGTGCAGGGCGCCGGGCGTGGGTGAGAGGCCCAGGCCTCCTCCTGCCTCCTCTCCCGGTTAGGCTGCGGCGCGGCCTCCGGGGGGCCCCGGGGGGCTGGTCCCCGGCAGCTCATTTCGGATGAAGTCTGGGCTGTGGGCTGTGGGCTGTGCTGACGCCCCGGCCTCACGGTAACCCGCTGCGGTAGTGCTTTGTGTGTGAGGTTTGGGTATTGCAGCCCCTATTGCAGCTGCAGCGTTTCGGGGGGGGACCTGGTTTCACAATAAAAGCCATTCCGTAAGGTGAAGCCCTTCGCGAAGCTTCTGTTGGGTGTAGTGACTGTGCCTTACGCCGGTGAGAGCCCAGCACACCACACCCCCACTGTGGAAATCAATGACCAGTTGTGTCTGGTAGATTGGTGGCCCGGGGGTGGGGTGGGGTGGGGGGGGAACTCCCATCGCTTTTCAAACGGTGCCACGGGATGTTTAATGACCGCCTGAACATCCACGAGACTGGACACTGGTTTAGCGGAGCGCTGCATTGGAGTGCCGGCTTGGTCTGTGGACTCGTAAAGTCTTGGCGTTCACCTGAAGTCCACAAAACTCTTTCTTTTCCAGCAAACGCCATGGTTAGTAATAGTGGGAGTCCTGTCGCAAGGAGTTGTCGCTCCTTGCGCAGTAATAATCATAATAATCCTCGCATTTGATATAGCGCTTTTCACGTCGGGAGGACGTCCCAAAGCGCTTCACAGAACACACTGTAAAGTGAATTGACTGTATATTTGTGGGCGAACGCGGCAGCCAATTGCGCACAGCAATGTCCCACAAACAGTCATGGATTGAAAATGACCAATTTTTATTATTGTTTTGTTTTTTTGGAGGGATTATTATTAGGCTCTGTGTGGAGTAAGGAAACTTGCCCAAGGTTTCGCCCTCTGCCTGGAATTGAACTCAGGTCTCTCACTTGCAAAGCGAGTGCTCCAACCACTACGCTTAAACCCATGCAGCATCTGTTAAAACGTCTTGTGGCGGTGATTTGATTTTGTTGTGTTTATTCTTCAAATCTACGTGGGTTTGTATCACAAACTTGAGTTGGCACAAAAGGGTCCCAGCAACTCGACGAAGTTGCTACAGGGCACACAGCCACACAGGGCTGAAGAGGGACACCAAGTGAAAAGCAAAATTCAACCAATTCCGAGCGTTTCCCGGCTCACAGTTGAACCTTGAGTAGTAACCTACGTCCCAGTGACTGTTCAACGTGAGCCTAAGCAGGCGTATTGATGAGCTGTGGGAGTTAACGTTAGAAGTAATTGGTAAACTCTTTGATAGAATGGTAATTCTGGCTTTTTAGAACCCCACCCTTCCATAGCCCAGCAACACTGAGGCCTGCTCTGCCTGTGAGGGAAGCTCCATTCACCTGAAATTAGCTTTGCATTTTCTGTGCCCAGGAGCTTCAGGAAATAATGTTTCCAGCTGTTTGAGTGTTGCTGGCTGTGCACAGAGGAAATCCTGGGATGGACAAGAATGTGTGTAAACGCTGGCTTTGGGCACATTCTGATCAATACAAGAACAACAACAACAAAATTACATTTGTATAGCGCCTTTCACATCAGGAGGACGTCCTAAAGCGCTGGACAGACTGAAGTCAGCATGAGGTAGACACTCCAGGAACAGCAAGCTCAAGGAACAGCACCTCATCTATCTGCTAGGGACCTTACAGCCCTTATGACCAATTATTGTTTTGTTTTTGGAGGAATTATTATTAGGCGTGTGGAGTAAGGAAACTTGCCCAAGGTTTCGCTTTCCCCTTCCTCCTCTTCTGTGACCATTAGCACATCATCTGGGTCCCAGACACACTTTTTCTCTCTAGTCTGCCTCTGCTGCCCATCATTGTTTTGCATCATTAACACCTCTATAACTCATCATCCCCTGTCCTCCACCTCATTTTCTTCATCTTTCTTGCCCCGCCTCCCCTCTCTGTTAGTCCTTAAAACCTCTCCCTCCCAACATCCCCCAGTTCTGACAAAGGGTCATGGACCCGAAATGTTGACCCACTTTCCTTTTTCCATAGATGCTGGCTGACTTGCTAAGTGTTCCCAGCGATCTCTGTTTTTGCTCCAGGGACAGTGCTGCTTCCAATTCCACATCTGCCCATGTTGGTTTAAAGATCCAACAGATTAACTTTTTGTTCATTTTCATTAGTCATTTATATTGAGCTGCCACTCAAGGGTAGTTAATTAAGCTGTGTTCAGATGTTAGTTGCTTTGCAATTGAATAACATTACAGCACAGAAGCTGGCCATTTAGTTCATCAAGCCTGGAATGGAGTTTTTCTGTTTGAACCACCTATTTTCACTGAACTCCTCACTTCACTCGTACCCTTAGTATTCCACGTTTTCAAACATCTGATTTTTATTTAAACCAATTTATGGATTTAACAATGTTGGAGGTGGGCAATAGAGGTGGAAGAAGGCGGTCCTGGTCACGGACCAGATGTGGGGAAGGAAGAACAGTTGTGGGTCGAACGGTAAACTCCTTTGCTGTTAAAGGTGTATAAATGTAAACTGTTGTTGGAAGTTTTTGGCCACATGAAGTCTGAATGGCTGTTTTTCTTTGGCAGATTGACTTGCAGCTGCAGTGTCTGCTGAAAGACCCAGCGCCTCTCACCAGGCAGCTTGGCAGCAATGGCGACGGAAGAGAAGAAAGGAGAGTCCGAGCCTACGAAAGGGCAGTCCACACCCTGCTCTTCCACCAATCAAAGCAAGGTGCTGCACATATAGAACTGCCCGTGTGTGGTCCCTGGCCTGTCATGCGTGGCGTGTGGTCTCTGATCTACTTGTGCATTCTTTCTATGCCCTGTGCACCTGTGTGGTCTTTGCCCTGGCTCCTTGTAGCAGTGAAATCTGCTGTATATAACTCAACCGGTGTGCGAATAGCCTGTATTAACATGTTCTATCAGAGGACCAAGGTGACGTTAATTTCAGGCTGTAGCTTGTTCCTATTCTGGGCATACATCTGGTGAGAAGCTCCTCAAATTCTTAGCCAGTTTTTCCAATAAATAACTTGCAACCAGCAGCCCTGAGTAGGGAGTGAAAATAAGTTAGAGTTTCTGCTTCCAATCTCTCTCCGGAGACCGTGACTGGGAGTTTGCATTGGGATGAGGACACGATTTTGCTTGGCTGTGATGTGGCCCCATAACCTTGCTCTGTCTGGGAGAAATAAGTGTATGATGTGTGGAACTGTCCCGAGTATATAGAAATAATTGGAACATTTTCAAGACAAGGTTATCACACTATTATGTCACTCGAGCAGTTGAGATATAAACTTTTGAGGAATATAAATTAGTGAAGATAGCTACAGTGGGGGGGAAGGGGGAGTGCTAACACCAGCTGAGGCCCAGTATAGCTGAATATCCATCTCCAGTAATTTCTCGAGGTGGGTGGAAGGAAGATTGGTGAAAGAGAAATATATTAAATCAGATTGGATGTGAGCAGGGAAAGATGAACATAATCTGGCACAGCAGATGGCGAGCTCATTCAGAGGGACAGACAATCAAGATAGATGCCTTTTTTCAGACGATTAACCAAATAAGGTGCCTATGGTCTTGGAGACTGGTGCAGCAGGGCTGAGGCCACAGTCGAGGAAAAAATTGGACATTTGTAGCCAGCCTGTGTTTTTTGTGTATGTATAGAATTGATATAGCTGACTCCTGTTAGTCCTTGTCGACAGCAACAGTACCATGACATGTCACGTGTCCACACTTGCTGTTTGTTAACCAGCTATGGTGCTGAATGGTGCAATCGGCTTACTGTTACAGATTCAGATCTGAACTGTGTTCATTAAGTGGGTAGAATTACCCGCTTTGTTTAACTAAAATCTCTTCCTTATGTTTGCACAGCCGTCTGCTGTAAAACCCAATTATACCTTGAAGTTCACGCTCGCTGGCCACACAAAGGCCGTCTCTTCTGTGAAGTTCAGCCCAAATGGCGAGTGGTTAGCCAGTTCCTGTAAGTAGTCCTGTGTGTCTGTCTGGTCAATATTCTGATTTGTTTAATCAGCAGCTATTTGTGAATGGATTTGACTTTATACTTGCAATAGGTGTCAGATCTGCCGCAATCCTAAATGTCTTCCTTATTTAGAGAATAACATTAAAATACATTTTGAAATACTAATAACTTGCATTTATATAGCGTCATTCATGTAAAATAAGTGTCTTGGAGCTCTTTACAAAAATATATTTAATTAGAAACAAAGTGAATGTTATTTAGTCAAATGTGGTAGCAAATTTTACAATGAGCAAAAATAAGATGGGGAGGTGATTTATTTGCATTTTGGGCTTAATCTGAATGAGGAAAGGAATATTAGCTTTGCTGTGTCATTAAACAATAATAATAATCCCTGTGTTTGACATCATGTCAGGAGGATGTCTTAAAGCTTCATGGGATTTACTGGAAATTTGCCTTTTATAAGTGAACATGGCAGCCAACTTGTGCATAGCATATTTTTTATTATAAATAAAAAAACTTGTATTACAAAAAAACTCCATCTCACTCCTGTAGCATGAAACCCTTTAAAACTGCTATCCATTATCTGAAAGGAATGGAGTATTTTATAAAGTCCGTCACTGGATACCTGTGAGATTTGTACACAGAGCCAAGTTCATAGATTTCTTTCTTACATTTGTAGCTGCTGATAAATTGATTAAAATATGGGGTGCGTACGATGGCAAGTTTGAGAAGACCATATCAGGACACAAACTGGTAAGTGCTGGAAATTCTGTTCTCTCCATCCCCAGCGTCCATCCTCATTCTGTGCTGTTACTGATCTCATTGGGTCTACAATTAGTTTCAGTGCCCCTGGGTTGGGGAGGTGGGGAATCAGCCAGGGTTCATGTTCCTGATCATTAACCAATTCTCCTGTGTCTTCCCCCTCACCCCAGTTGTGTGCATGGACACGATTGAGCTAATACCTCTGCTGTTGAATTGCATAATATCAGGAAACACCAGCCATGGGTAGTCAGGCTGTTATGGTTAGACTGGGTTATGCTGCTGTATTGGTATTGCTCTGTGATGTTATGTATGAATTTTTCCTTTTAATAGGGAATATCTGACGTTGCCTGGTCCACAGATTCAAACCTGCTTGTATCAGCTTCAGATGACAAAACTCTCAAAATCTGGGACGTGAACTCGGTAAGATGAGTCTGGCATTTTACTTTAGGAGCTCGGGCTTCCGAGTGAGCTGGTGCCACATAGTCCCTAATTCCTGAGCCACTTCCCTGGTTCTCTGAGACTGATACCCTGAGACATCAGTGATAATTTGCTGGAATAACATCTGGGATGAAGGTGCTAAACTATTACTAGAAACTTGAGTAGATTTGAGTTATATTCCCTGGAGCTGGGGAGGGGAGTGCTGCCAAGGGATAATCTTATTGTCTGCGGTGCTAAAATAATAGAGGGAATTGACAAGCTAGATAGTGGATGACTCTTCTCTCTAATGAAGAGATCCAAAATGAGGGGATACAATCTTAAAATGAGGGCTAGGATATTTTGCAGTGAGGATCGTGTGTCGGCTTGACTTAGTGGTAACACTCGCCTCTGAGTCAGAAGGTTGGGGTGGTGAGGAGGTTGTTCAAAATCCCATGTCGGGACTTGAACTCGCATCGTCTAAGCTGACACTGCAATGCAGTGCTGTGAGCCTGTTGCATTGTCAAGAGGTGCTGTGGTTTGGATCAGACATTAAACCAACTCACATTGAATAGCACCTATCCATGGTGCTATTCGAAAAGAGAAGGTAGTTGCTCCCAGCCAACAATTACCCAAGTACAATTGGTAACTCACTCCATGGCAGTTTGTGGGAAGTTGTTGTGCGCAAACTGGCTGCTGCTTTTGTCGACAAAATACAGTTACTCTTATGGTGACGTAAAGCTGTGCTAACTAGCTTTGGTTCTGATTGCAGGGCAAGTGTTTGAAGACACTGAAAGGCCACAGCAACTATGTTTTTTGCTGTAATTTCAACCCGCAGTCCAACCTTATTGTTTCCGGATCGGTAAGTGAATATCCTGGAGAATTTGTCTTGAGAATTACAGGGTATATTCGGTTTGAGTCCAGCTAGAGTGACACGTGTGGGGATTAAACCCCTACAATTTATATGCTTTTGTTTCCTGTAGTTTGACGAGAGTGTGCGGATTTGGGACGTAAAGACTGGGAAGTGCCTGAAGACTCTGCCAGCACATTCAGACCCTGTTTCTGCTGTAAGTTCAACAACAAAACAGTTACTTCAATTTACTGTATATCCTGTGACGAGCTTTGAGACATTTTCTCAACATGAAAGGTTCTCCCATCAGATGTATGGATTATTATGGATTATTCTAAGCACCAAAAAACGTTTGTTATTGTCAAGCTTGAGGACTGTTTTTGCATGACTTGTTAAAAAGGAAGTGTGCAGATGGGGGGAGCAGGGCACGTTCAAAACTGGTGTGACGGGTGAGATGAGATGGGGGGGGCTTGTCGGTTGGGGTGAGCGAGGGGTCTCAAAGCAATGGTGAAGGCACTTTGGATGGATAGAATGTAGGAAGAGGCTGAGCTAATCCTGAGCACAGCACTGGGTTGACTTGCTTTGCAACTGCCTTAAAAACAGTGGAAGCTCGCTGGTGTGGGGTAAGCGTGAGAAGCAGACAATACCGTTTCTATGTGGAGTTGCGGACTATAAAGCTTTACGTGTAATATCCTTTCTCGTTTTTATTTATATAAAAAAAAATGCCCTTTGGTTTCACAGTGCGAGGGGACCATATTAATCAGCCTGGCTTGACTGCGGTCTCACTGCTGAGCTCTATTAATTCTCCCAGTCATCAGTGCCTTGATGTCACAGGCAGTGCTTTTCTCTGATTCTCATCTCTTCTCCAGAAGGGAGCATAGTTCTCTTAGAGGATGCCCTTTGGCACCTCGCCAATTCTTCATGCCTGTGCCTGTACAATGCTTGTCAGCAGGACATTAGAACAATGGGGGGGTAGTGGTGGGGGAATGCTGCAGCTGAGTCCTGATCAATCCGCGTGTCTGCACTTCAACAGGAACCAAAATTTGCCCTTTTATTTCAACTCATTGTGTATTGGGTGGGGGGTGGGGATGACACTCGGCGTATAGACAGCAGAGTGCAAGACCTGGGCCCACGCTGTGTTGTCTGCTTTAAACCACATCGTGCAGACAGCCAACACTCTTCCTAGAAACTGTGGAGAGGAGGAGAAGTGGGTAGAAGGAAGTTGAATTGAACCAAGCAAATTGTAGGTTTGATTCCCAGAATAATGCTAGGAATGAAGTGGCCTGATCCTCAGGCACGTCTCCCGATCGGTCTCTGGTGCCGATTATTTGAGGTGGCGTCATAACCCCCAAAAAATTCCAATGACAGTTCATCCAGATTAAAGCTTGTATGTTTCATACAGTTTTTTTTTTTGGTGTGATGTGGGGAGGAAGAGAGAGAGTGAGGGGAGTGTAAACGCACTGACTGCAATCCCTGACACATTTGGGGATTTCAAAGCCACATCGTAAACGCGGTATTAACCGATCTTAGTGAAGCACCAGGTATAAGGCTGCAAACTCACAGCAGAAGGAGGCCGTTCAAGCTATTAGCTCTCAACCTGGTGTTATTTAATCCCAGTGGCCTGCCCTATCTCCTATACCTTTTCGAGCCTCTGGATAGATGGTGAGTTGTAATCGGGTTGCACATTCCCTGTTGACGCCAACTCAGGTTGGTGAGGGGCCGATCTCTCTCCTGGCAGTCACAGCGTTTTGGTTGTTTAGACGAACTGACCTGTTGCCGAAAGGGATTGAGCATTACGTGTGCTACCTTTGGGAGCTTGCGGAATAACCCCCGGGTGGTGTTTCTTGACTCGTTCTTTCACGAATTCTTTCTCCCTCAGGTACACTTCAACAGAGATGGATCCCTCATCGTCTCCAGTAGCTATGATGGACTCTGGTAAGTGTATGTTTTCCTGCAGTAACTTCTGAACTTTCTCGACCCCATATTATCACTGTGCAAATAACTCACGGTGCAATACTACCGAGTACCTGAGGGTGGCGCCACTGTTGGTTAATTGCTAATGTAGCACTACCCATAGGAATGCGGTGGTATTACACTCAAGGACACATCCCAAAGTAGATCCGAACTCGCCTAACCGGCTCACGTGTTGTCAGGTTTATTTCTTTACTTGGTGCCTATCTCAGTTCCAACTGAGATAGGCACCACGTATGGTGTGATGTAACCTGTGTCCCTTCCACCTGAAGTCCTGTAGCGTAGAGGTTAACACGCTCGCCTCGCAAGCAAGAGGACCCGGGTTCGATTCCCGTGCAAAGGGCGAAACCTTAGGCAAGTTTCCTTACTCCACACGCCTCTGTTCACCTAGCTGTAAGTGGTAACCCGGTTGTCAGTCGATTAGCGGATCCCCTTATATGGGTAATGACCTCTCAAAAACAAATTGTTCACTCAATCCACCACTGTTTGTGGGACACTGCTGTGTGCAATCGGCTACTGTGTTTTGTCCACAAAATATATAATCAATCCAGTTTACAGTATATTCTGTGAAGCACTTTGAGACGTCTCAATGATGTGATAAGCGCCATATCGAATCCACAAATTATTAATATCATTCTAAGACGGTGTCCAGCACATGAAGTTGATCAGTCACACTTTTGATCTGCCATTAATAATAGCAGACTGTTGCACAGAATAACTTAAGAACTTTTTTTTTTGCAGCCGAATTTGGGACACTGCCTCGGGACAGTGCCTTAAAACACTGATTGGTAAGTTCTTCGTCCTGTGTCAATGCCCGGTGGGGGGGTTGATGTGGGGGGCTCTTTTGCTGAATTATCTATCAGGTTTCTGATAAGAGATCAGCTAGAAAATTTGCACCAGAATTGTTTCCCTCCTCCACACAGCCCTGCTTCACTTCATGAGAGACCTATCCTTCTTACGGTTGCCTCCTGTAGTGAAAGTGTTCATACACCTGTGGGGGTTTATGCGTGTATGTGTGCACGTGCCTGTGCGTGAGTGCACTATGGGTGGGTAGATGTGTTTGTGGTGTTGCAACAAACTGGTGAATGCTGGGCTGTGCAAGGGTCACACTGTGAGAAAGGTTTGCATTTTGTGCGAGATTTTCCACAATCCCTTGCACTTGAGGTGCAGTTGGTATTTTTTTTACCCACAAAATACGCAGTGAATTCACTTTGCAGTATATTCTGTGAAGTGCTTTAAGATGCTTCAATGATTTGAAAAGGCGCTATATCAAATACAAGGATTATTACATGCCATTGAAAGGTTCTACTGACCTCAACTATACTCTGGGCCCTTCCTGGGAACATTGAACAGTAGGGGGAATCACGACTCAATCCTTTCCTCCCCGAGCACCTTCCAACAAAAGGCGATGGAGTGATCAGAAGCGGGAAACATTGTCTGATTTTACTTGCCCCTCCCTAGCCTGAGGGTGCTAAGGCCAATTATAATCCTGACTGCAGCCTCAGCTGAGTTCAGTAACTTGTTGGCACAATAACTGCTCCATTTTGCTGCTGCTGTAAGGAGTTGTTTTCCTCCCCACAGATGACGATAATCCTCCTGTCTCCTTCGTGAAGTTTTCGCCGAACGGCAAATACATTCTGGCAGCCACCCTCGACAAGTAAGCCTTCCTTCCTGCTCAGGCTGTCTGTGGTCACAATCACCCGACAGCACAGGGTTGTGCTCGCCAACACAACGTCCTGTCGCTTATGGGAGGTGGCGGTGGAACTGGGTTATGAGCAGGTGCTGCTTTGTCAGTTTGTAGGCTCTGGTGCACTTTGGCACACACCAGGCGGCTTGACAAAAAAGCAGTGTAGCAGCTGGATCCTGAAGTGTGCAAGAGCAGATCTGAGTGACTGCGGCACCTCCTCCCCCATCTTCCTCCCCCACCATGCTGGGAAGATGGCCATGCTCTGCCTATAAACATGCAGCCACCACACTTGTCAGCAAGTCCCGGTGAAATGCTTTGAGATGTTTGTGGATCCCTGGCTGTCCAGCACCTTGGACATCCTCGTGACATGACAGGCTCCATACAAATGTAATTTGTTATTGTTTTGAGGTTGTAGGCGCTGTTAAATGCAGGGATTATTACTTGTGGTTGTGGACAGACTGAGCTCTGGCTCCCGAGCCACTGATGGAAAAAGCCGTGCTTTGGTTTCCATAAGCGACAAGAATCTGAGCCAATCCTGAGCTCATTAGTACTTTATTCTCTGAAATAAAGCTTTGTTTTCTTTTTCCAGTACTTTAAAACTTTGGGACTACAGTAAAGGAAAGGTACGTACAAAGCCCTAATTCACAATTTTATGTATTAAAAAAAGGTATTTACTCCTCAGAGATTGTCCTTCCTCACTGCACACTCTAGTAGGTCAGTGACACCCAGTGATGGCTATTTGATCTCTCCTTCACAGTGTTCACTTATGGTCATCTCCCCCCCTCACCCCCAACCTCTTGAACACCTGCGGAGCAGCCCGTGTAAAGCACTTTGAGACATCCTCCCAACAAAAAAAGTTGCTTTGTAAATGCGATTGTGAGGGGTAGACCTTGACTCTGAGGGTAGAGCTATTTCACTTGCATAGCCACAGAGCACAGGAAAGTTTACAATTTTTTTTAAAAACCAGCAGGGACATGTGTGTGCATGGTGGTGTGTGTGTGAGTGGTTACATTTCAATCTGCCGTTTGTAAACAGCGAGTTCTCTGCTTTAGTCGTTGTTTAATGCTGACCCCGGTGCAGTGCATCTTGATCGAACAGTGAGTTGCTGAGCCTTTCTTTACCTGTTACAGTGCCTGAAGACCTACACCGCGCACAAAAATGAGAAATACTGCATATTCGCCAACTTCTCGGTTACGGGTGGTAAGGTACGTTACAGATCCTGCAAACAGGCAACTTCCATTCAGTCCTCTGTGTGACAATTGCCCAGCGTTCTAAGCGCAGAGCTACGGCAGTGTGACCGCCTGGAATGTGCTGAATAATTCTTTTCTCACTTCTTAGTGGATCGTGTCGGGATCAGAGGACAACTTTGTTTACATCTGGAACCTCCAAACAAAGGAGATAGTGCAGAAGCTACAAGGACACACAGGTGAGCGATCAGGTCCAGGTCCCACAGCATCGGTGGTCATTCTTTCTCTGCACCCAGGCTCCCCAGGTATCACCTCTTGCCTTTTTTTTTGTTACAGATGTTGTCATCTCCACCGCCTGTCACCCAACAGAGAACATCATTGCATCGGCAGCATTAGAAAACGATAAGACAATCAAACTCTGGAAGAGTGACTGTTAACGGCACGGACTGTCTCTCAGGACTGCCAGGCACTGGGCGGCTGGCCTTGCCCTAGGACAGTGCCACCTGGACTCCAGACCGGCGTCACCACAGACTGTGCACATGACGACCGCCGTGCTGAGCCACTGGGAGGATCGAAAGGAATCTTGGTTTAACCACGATTCCAAACACTGGGCAAATTATGCTAAAATAACACACACGACTAAAATTGATTTTTTTTTTTAAGTGACCAAATCAGTTTGTGGCTTCCTTACTCCAGTCTTGTGAGGGTTTTTTTTATATATATATAAAAAAAAGTAAACCTAGATTTTTTTTTGTAGTTGGTGTTCTCTGCACATGTGATGTTCGGTTGGCTGTGAAAGTAGTGTGAGTGCCCTTTTGGGATATAGGATTTTTTGGTTCTTCCCTTCTCTCTCTTCTCTCCCTCCCCCCCGCCCCACACAGAAAAAAAGAAGTGACTTAGATCAAGAGCTTGGCATGTGGGGAAATGGCATTCAGTATTTGTGTCTCTTGCAAATCGCAGACCAGCTCTCCCAGCCTGCACTAACGGCATTCAGTCATAGCAGTGCTACAAACCAGGCCAACCTAGAGGTGTGCTGTTTCCAGAGTTGGGCCACCCACACTCACTCACACACAGACACACACTGACAGACAGACACAGGCGCACTCACACACACATTCACTGGTTGCCTGATATGGTAAACGTGGTCATTCGTGAAAAGATGCTTGAATGGACACGTTCAGCTTCCCCCTCAGGCCTGGCAAAGCTAAGCTGTAATGTCTGTTAGTTCCAACCTGGTCTAAATCTCCAGTGTTGATGCATACCAGCAGCTGCTAGTTTGGAGAAATGTGAGGTTGCTTCCACTGAATTTCATTCATGTACCCGATGACCAGGCTTCTCTCTTCCCCCCCCCCCCCCGCCCCCCACACCCCATCGTAAGACTTCCCGAAGGTTGGGTACTTCAGGGTGTGAGTACAGTAAAATGGGTTCCTGGTTTTATTCTGAAACGATTGCAAACGCTTATGTGTTTCTCCAGATAGTGATATTTAATCCCTTTTCTCTGTCTATGTGGTTGTGAGCACTATTTTGGCGGCTTGTGCTTCCTCTCCTGTGGGCACTGGCACCGTGGGGTGGGATGGGCAGAGCGTTCTCTCTCTGGCTTGTCCGCTTCCTCATCCCAATCACCAGCCTGCCTCTTGTCCCCCAGGAGAGTGAATGGAAGAAACTGGAGGTGCACTCTCTGCAGTTACCTTATGGACTATTGCTGCAGTTCCAGAGTAAAGGAGCTGGGGAGCAATTCTGAGGCACGATTTTTCAGGAGGAGCTGGAATGGGCTGAACTCTCTCCTCTCTCTCCGCAGACCGATGGAATTGGTGTACAAACACATTCTGATCTTTTACTTTGTCTGATCTCAGCTTCGATGTAGCCTGCTTTTACAGGAGCTTGTACAGTGAGTGAGTGTAGTGACGTGATGTTGAAGTAGTATTCTATTAGTACTTTTACTTTTTTGCCTATTTGCTCACTTCAGACACTATGTATAAATAGCCCACCTGTTCAAATATTCCCCATCACCTCTGGGTAGTGTGACAATAATTCTCTGAATATTCCAGTGATGATCTTATGGCTGTTTATATAGTATGCTATTGCCTGATGTTTAGGTGTATTCTGATCTCCCCCCTCCCCCAGCCCCTCTTCCCCCTGTTAATACAAGAGATTTGAACATAATGCCTTCTTTGTCTTGTCTTCTTGCTTTGTAGAGCAGTCCTGCACAGCGAGCAGCAGCGTGTGGCTGTATGGAGACAGTGAGGCTGTTTGATGTGACTTGCTCGGCAGGTTGGAGGCAGCTTTGTATGAGAGAGAACTGCTGTTTGACACTCATTGCGTTTGCTGGCTGAAATCCAGTCGGTCTGTGAGTTTCTCAATCTATTTCAGACGGGGGTAAATCATGAGAAGCCATTACAGAGAGTCGTCTTCTTGTTTCTTCGGTGGGCTCAGCAACAGCAAGTTGCATTTATGTAGAGCCCTTAATGTCAGGAGAACATCCCAAGGCACTTTGAACCGAGCTGCGGACTGGAGGCAGGAGGGATGGAGGGCAAAAATGCGTGTGGGCGGGTGGGGGGAGCGTTGGAAGATGACCAAAGGCGCGGCCGAAAAGGAGAGTCACGAGAGCAGACCAAACCACCCTCGTGATATTGTGAGTTATAATGGAATGTGGGATTGCTGTCTGTATCTCACTGTTGTGCTGGTGTCTCAGTACTAAAGCCAGTGCTGTGGGTAGCGAGCCGCTCACTGCGGTTTGGAATTCTGACCGTATGACTCACCACCTGCTCCAGGTCCCTGACTAAATCTCTGCTGATGGTGCTCTTCCGGGCCCCTGACTGGCGCTGCTCAGCGTTGGAGCCACGTGAGGTTCCACTTGTGATCTTTGTAACACTGCAGAATCGTCACTGAAGTGCATTATGAAGCCTGTGTGCTGCACTGCTGGATTTTGTAACATCGAGCACTGAGGAATTTGGCACCAAATACATTGGACGACCTTGAGTGTCTCAAAAGAAAACTTGGATTTTTATATTGCCTTATCACATCGAAATTTCTCAAAGCATCTTACAGTACTGTCATTGCTATAAGTGTAATTATTTTTCAAGTAAACCACAATAGCCATTTTACCAACTGAACAAAGCCATTCCGGGAATGAACAATTTTGTCTGCAGAATTGTTGGCCAAGACACTGGAAGAAACTCCTTTCTCTCTTCCATTAGGGTGAGTGGGGGTGGGGGGGGAATCTGTAATGATTCTCAATCCACAACACTGGTGTACTAAATAAGCTCCTTAGCAATCCAATACCTTAACTGTAACCCACCACACCAGTTCCCTTCCCATGATCCTTTTTATACTTCCCCCTATTTCATTTGTGCTTCTAAAATTGTCCATTTCTCTTTAATAGGGGATGTGTGCATGTTTGGGGAAGGACTATGAATGTGGTGTGTGGCAGTGGGGAGAGTGGGAGAAGGGACAGGCTACGTGTGCACTTTCTGTGTGGAAGGGCAACAACTGGACCAATGCAACCATGGACACCTCAGACAGATGCACATATACAGCATGAATACATCTGCATATATATATATATATGCACACACACACACACGCCCAGACACACAACCACAGACATCTGCTGAAAACATGCTACAGGTTTAAGTGAGAAAGATGCCAGGGAATTGCAGTAATGAGTGAACAGGAAGCCAAATTGTTCTGAGAATCCAGAATGCTGCGAAGTGTAGTGGGTGACCACGGCAATCAATTTGCATGCAGCAACGTCCCACAAACAGCCATGAGGTGAATGACCAATTTTACCTGGGGCGTTGTTGGCCAGGAAATTGGCTGAAGTGCCTTGGGATCTTTACCGTTCACCTGAACAGACAAACAGAACCTTGGGTTTAATGTTACCTGAAGGACGTCATTTCAAGGACTTCAGCACTTCACCAATACTTCACTGAAATGTCAGCCTAGACTGAGCTCAAAGTCCTGCTATGGAGCTTTGAACCCACAAACTTCTGACTGAGAAGCAGACTACTATCAACTGAGCCAAACTGACATCTGGGGATTATCTGGAGTGGGTTCATGCAGAAACGATTTATAATCGACAGCATCTTTGTAGCATGAAGAACACTGCAGTTACCACAGTGGTGCTAAGTTTAGGACCTGGAGGAAAGACAGGCGTGTTGCAAACTAATCTGAACAGGATGGTGGGTGAGCAAAATACGAGATGCCCTTTAATGTTGAGCAGTGCAGTGCACCTCGGGTAAAATTCTGGGGTTAACAACAACAACAAAATTACATTTGTATAGGGCCTTTTACTTCGGGAGGATTTCCCAAGGCGCTGGTTAACTAGCTAAAAAACAGGTTTCCCATAAGTGGTTAGTTGGGAAAAGTCTGGTGGAGTATCATTGATCACACCCAGGGACACTTCTGACACTGGATGTGTTCTGGTTGGGTTCCCAGATTGAGTGAACAGGTTTAACTGGTTAGACTCCAAAGCACATTCTAGGGTCCCGATTCCCCCAAGCCTAGGTTCTTGCCAACCTGCGCCTCATACTCTCTGGAATTCGGTAAGCAGGTGTGAATCTCTGGGGAGAGAGTGCACATTTCATTGCAGCCACTGGGAAATTTCCACACGAAGGAACTCTGTCTGGTTTCGATACTCTTAAGCATAGTGTCAGACCCAAAAAAATACCTTGAGTACTCAGGCCAGGACTGGAGACCCTGGAGGTGAAGGATTTACTACAGCTCGGCTACCCTCGCCAGACTCCCCCCCCCCCCCCCGCCCCGTTGCCAGATTCCAGTTCAGGTTGCTGCACCTGGTGAGGGCTGAGGAGGCAACTGGAGACCGGCCAACCAACAGGCTCTCCGGATGCTGGTCAGCGAGAGATGTCCGCAGACTCCCTGTATTGAATTGCTGTGCTGACGAGTGGGAAATGGTGCTGCAATGCCAAGCGTGGGTATGGTGGGGGTGTGGAAGTTGAGCAGGTGGCTAGGTTGTGAGGTTCAACCGCATCTGGTTATTTTGAGTGTTTTGAGAAGTTGGTTTATGAATCGGTTTTAATATAATTTTCTTCCTCTTTCATTTCTCTCCATGTTCCTTAGGTTTAGTCAGTGTGTGTGTGTTTGGGTGGGGGGAGGTAGGAGGGAGAGGTCTGGTGCTCGAAGCTCCTTCAGTTGACGTCAACCTGCAGTCGTCAGGCTGTGCGAGGCAGCAGAGCGACCCGGCTCCATCTGTTAGTGGCCGTCTGAAATCACAGGTAACAAGACAGCAGCGTTGGAGCACAGTTGCCAGCCTCTAGCCCGGCCTCAGGTTTCATGAGGACAGTGGGTCGCTGTGACCTGATTTCCCGGATGTGGAGTCCTGCGGAAGGTTAGCAGTGGACAGGTCCACAGGGGTTTGGTGCCCAGCCCACTCGCCAGCACAGCAGTTCCACCGAGGGAGTCTGCGGATACCTCTCCCCTGACCAGCATCCCGAGCTGTGGTACATCCCCCACCTCCAGCGGCTCCTGTCCTTGGCTCGAGTAGTATTTTTTTGGATGCTGATCAGCGAGAGTTGTCCGCTCGTTCCTTTACACCCCAGGTGAGGCAGCGGATACTGAGCTGTGCAGTTTCTCACTAGAGGAGGCGATCCAGGTATTGATTGGTTTTAATGGAAGCATCTGCCTGGCACCACATTCAGTGCCAGGCCCTGACTGACTGCTTCAGGTTTAGTCTGAGATTCTCAACCCTGACTGTTCCCTTTTGGTCTATCTCCCTCTCTGCTTCCCTTCCCTCTCTCTCCTATTTGTGTGTCTCACCATCTTTCTCATTCTCTCTCACACGTATACAACACACTCTATGTCCCTTTCCATTCTCCATTAATCTCTCCGTCTTTCTCAATCACTCACTATTTGTCTCTTTCCCTCTCTCCTCTTTTCCTTTCTCTCTCTCTCTCTGACTCTCTCGCTGAACCTTGCAGATACGTTGATGCTTTTCTCTGAAGCTGCCTTAGAATTCCTCTGTGCGTGTGTGTGTGTGTGTGGCAGGAAGGTAGTGAATCATTCTTCAATGCACTGTTGTCTCAGAATCTTGTCTCGCAATCTCTGTACAGTACACACTTTGCCACGCACCGAGATTACAGCACGTTTATTCAATGTCAATCCAAAGTTATTGTTTATTTGGTGTTTGGAAATCTCTCTCAGATTGAGTTAGACAAGTCGAGCAGTGGTGATTGTGTAAGAGAGAGAGAGAGAAAAGCAGCTGCTTTGATCTATTCCTGTATCTTACTTCCAACCGCTGCTTCTGCGCACAGTGAAACGAAACTGGAATGACAGAGGTGGGAACCCCCAGGGCTGCTAATGGGTTGATAGGATGAATGTTTTATTGCCCCATTCAGCCTGTCCTGGGCCTTCTGTGTGAAGTCTGAATCAGGTGAGTCTGCACTGGGTGCTAAGCTCTCTACTGCCCTGTGAGTAACTTGGGAGCTCTGTGCTGTCCTGTGTGTAACTAGTAACAATCCTTCCAGAATATGCTGTAAAGTGAATTGCCTGTTTTGTGAAACTGGGAGATGGCTATATTACACCCATAAAATACAGTCAATCCACTTCAATATATATTCATTGAAGCACTTTGAGACATCTCAAAGACGTGATACGGCGGTGGTGCATCAAATGCAAGGATTATTTATCATAATAACTTGGCAGTAAAGCTCAGTGAACTGAATGGCCTTCTCCTGTTCTATATAAATGCAGGTTGTCGTTTGTTTGTGGTAGTTATTGCTTATTTTCTGGTTTTGCACAGACAGTATCCTCAGGCTGTGAATGAGGCGATCCCCGGTGGCCAGTTGAACCGCAGGAGATGGGTGTTCTGGATGTCTGCCAGACCGGGGCTTACCCAATCTACGTGCTGTCTCTGCTGCTCCTCACCTACCTTCTCAACCAGCTGGACCGCTACGTGCTGGCTATAGTGGCTCAGCCGCTGGCCCAAGACCTGCATTTCGGGGACAGGAGCTGCCTACAGAATGGGAGCGAGTGGCAGGGACACTTGCCATGTGCCAACGGCAGCAGCGAGGAGAGGCAAGTCCAGCCAGGGCTAGTGGTGGGGATTGGGAGAAGCCGATATTACCATCTCATTGAGGCAAAAACCATATTAGTTGGACTTGCTGTTGTGGAGGCCTATATTATAGTGGTTAGAGCACTCTCCTCGCAAGCGAGAGGATCTGGGTTCGATTCCCAGACGGGGCGGAGCTGAACCTTGAGCAAGTTTCCTTACTGTTTACCTAGCAGTATGTAGGAACCTGGATGTTAGTCGATTGGCAGATCGTTTTCTGGGGGTAATAATCCCTCCTCAAAAATCAATAAATAATAATGATCATTTGATCATTGGCTTGTGGGACATTGCTGTGCGCAATTTGCTGTCGTGTTTCGCCCACAAAATACACGGTCAATTCAGTTTACAGTATATTCTGTGAAGGGCTTTGAGACGTTTCGAAGACATGATAAAGCTCTATATCAAATGCAAGGTTTATTAGCCTGTCTGCTTGTTCAGGATAAAGATTGCACGACATTGGAAGAACAGAGTTTCTCCCTGTGTCCCAGTCCCAGTCCATCCCTCCCATTCCAAATTCACCAAAACATAGAGTGATGGGCCATTCATTTCATTGCTGTGTGTAGGACTTTGCTGGAGCAGATTAGCTGCCTCATTTGTTACTCAACAGTCACTGCACAAAGTGCCCGGGTCTGATTCTCTCACAGAGAGCCCATTGAAGGCCATTCACCCCTGGAGCTCACTACTCCAATCCCATTCCTTGCTCTTTTCCCCATCCTATCCTCTTCTTTTCCTGCGAAAATCCTCACTATCCCACTTCCTTGCAGGTGCCTGTCGTTCCTGAATGACAATGGATCCCATTATTGTAAATGGGACTTTAACGGGAATGGATGGGAATATCAGGTCATAGCTGGACCCGTCTTCATCCTCATCTATACCTTCATGGGTGGGTATTTCATAACTGGGCTGTAGTGCCTACATCGATCTATTGAACATTCCTCTCTGGTGCAAAGTATCAGCCTGGTTCAATCGCTGTCATCTCCAGGTCAAAAGGTTGTTGGTCCAAACTAGTCCAAGTTGACACTCTGGTGCAATGCTTGGGGGAGTGCTCCATAGTCGGAGATTCCCATAAACTTTCTGGGCTCAAGAAACTCCATTACATTAGGCATCCTAATAGATGGTCCATAAGGGAGCAAGTGGTCAAGCTGCTGCCGCCTCATGCACCCAGCCCCCCCGAAACCATCCCCACTCTTTGAAAACCACTGGATGAGACATTAAACCGAGGTCCCGTCTACCTGTTCAGGTGGGCGTTAAAGATCCCATGACACTATTCAAAAAGAGAAAGGAGTTTCTCTCTCCCAGTGTCCTGGCTGACAATCCCACAAATAAAATTGGTCACCCACTCCATGGCTGTCTGTGGGACATCGCAGTGCGCAAATTGACTGTTGGGTTTGCCCAAAAATACACAGTCACTACACTTCACAGTAAATCCTGTGAAGCGCTCAGATGAAGTGCAAGTCTGTGTTGGTGCTTCTGCAATAATTCCTGCTGTTGCTTTGATCCTCTGCTGACACGTGAGTGCTCCCGTCAGGAGGTTGGGGTCAATGTGAGATTTCTTTTCCGCCCCCAGGAGTGGTTATGGGATTCCTTGCTGATGCCACCAATCGCAAGAACCTGCTGTCGCTCAGCCTGTTTCTGTGGAGCCTCCTGACGCTGCTGATGGGTTTTGCCAAACGTTACTGGCATCTGGTGCTGATGCGCTTCGGCCAGGCAATCGGGTAGGCTTTGCCGTCACTATGCTGGGGCCGGGCGGGCCGTGCCAGTCAACTGGTAGCCAGGGGAGTGAGAGGTTCTGAGGGGTTCCTGGAGAGGCGAGGGGCAAGATCATGAGGCAAGGGTTGGGGTTGTGGGTGTGTATATGTATGCGTGTGTGGGGTCTGGCTGGGTGTGCATGGGGGTGGGGAGGTGCTCTGGTCAGGATGGTCTCTGGCAAGGCTGGGGTGACTGTGTTGTGTTACAGGGAGGCGGGCTGCACACCGTTTGCTGTCAGCTTGATCATGGATTACTTTCCTGCGGTAGCGCGAGGCTCAGCGATGGGCGTCTACAATTGGGGCATCTACGGGGGCTACAGCCTAGCGTACGCCATCGGCAGCTACATCCCCCGCGCCAACATCAACGGGATGGTATGTACTGCGCCCTCCCTTCCCCTCGCCCCCTCCCTCTTTCCCTCTCCCCTCCCTCTTACCCTTACCCTCACCCTCCCTCCCTGCCCCCTCCCTCTCCTCGCCCCTCCCTTGTTCTTTGTATTGGTGCGGGTGAAGTGACTGTGTGTGTTGGGGATGTAGTGACTGTCTGTGTGTTGGCGGTTGGCGATGAAGTGACTGTGTATGTGTGTTGGGGGTGTAGTGACTGTGTGTATTGGGGGTGGGAGTGTAATGACTGTCTCTGTGCTCAGGGCTGGCGTTGGGCTTTCTTCCTGTCGGGAATGCCTGGGCTGCTCCTCGGTGTGGTGCTGGCAGTCACGGTGCGGGAGCCACCGCGGGCGGGGGGAGCCGGTGAGGAGGAGGCGGTGGGCAACATGACACTGAGAGAGAAGCTGAGAACCACTGTACGCTCCTTCCTGAACCCCCCGCTCCTGCTGCTCTGCCTGGCCGGCTCAGTCAGGAACGCTGGTGAGTCACTCAGGCCATCTGTCTTCCGTCCGCACTGTCCTGGTCCCTCCAGAACCTGCTCCAAGCTCCTAACAGTGTCAACAACCAATTACATTTGTATCACACCGTTCACATCTGGAGGATGTCCCAAGGCACTGGATAGTTGAGGCTTTGCATCTGAGCTGGGAGGGTGGGGGTGGGCTGCAGGGAGAGTGGGGATAGGAAGGGTGGTGGTAGGAAAGGTTGGGGTAGGAGGGTTGAAAAGGAGGGTCTTGAAGGAGGCAAGGGAGGGGGCGAGGCTGAGGTGGCATGGAGCAGGCTGGCACCCACTGAACAGGGGAGTGCACAGGTTTATATGGAGTTAGCAGATCACAGAGATAGTGCTGGGGTTTGTGCTGCCTGGTTGGAGGTGCTGTCCTTCAAATAAGACGTCAAACTGATATCCTGCATGCCTGTTCCAGGTGAAGGGTAAAGATAACCACGGCATTAATCATAAAGGGAAGAGAGTTTCTCCCAGTGTCCTGGCCAACAATCCCCCAAGAGTCTTGGTGGCTGTTTGTGGGGGTCATTGCTGTGTGCAATTTGGTGGCCACGATCACCCACAAAATGCAGTCATTGAAGTAAACGCTGTGGAAGGCATTAGGACATCTCGATGTGAAAAGCGCTGTAACAAACGTAAAGATTATTATAATGTTCCTCGTGCCTTCTGCTCCACCATCGGCGACCGGACGTTTAGCCACTATTGAGTGACCAAATTATGATTATTATTAATTTGTGTGTTGCCAGGGGGATATGTGTGGGCTTACAACGCCCAGAATTATTTCAACTTCTACTACAGCCAGGTGGACGTGGGGCGCTGGCTCTCCTGGATCCCACTGGTCGGGGGCTTCCTGGGAGCCCTCCTCGGTGGGGTGATTTCTGACCGGGTGGTTCAGAAGCGGGGCCTGCACGCCCGGATCTGGGTGCTGGTGATCAGCCAGGTGAGTGGCAACAGCAGTCCGTGCTCGTGCTGTGCTGCCTATGTCGCTCTCTGCCTGTATCGCCCAAAGCCTGTCTCGCTCAGTCTGTTGTTCCGTCTGCCTGCGCTCCCTTCGCCTGTAGCACTGTATCTCTGTCGCCCCTCTGCCTGTGCGTCGCCCTCTGCCTGCGTCGTGTCTCTCCGTTTGTCACCCTCCACCTCTGTTTCCTGCAGGTGGCGGCGGCGCCCTGTGTGGCGGGGGCCCTGTGGCTGAAGCCGCCGTACTGTTTCCTGTCTCTGATCCCAGGCTGTATGTTGGGTGAGTTTTTAAAGCGCCAATCCACAGGCTCGGTGCAGCCCCAAACCCCGAGAGAGAGAAGAGTGAGTGAGGAAGTCATTGCGCTGGGGGCTGTAGCAGGGCCTGGGGATGATGGGATGTGGTGGTATCTGACCCCCAATCCGAGAGTGCAATGGGAGAGGGGGACAGTACCAATCGGGAGAGGGTGGTATTGAGAGTGTTGGGGGTATGGGTCTGTGCTGGGGTTCATTGTGATCTGTGCCGGGGGAGAGCGTGGCGCGTGCCGGTGGGGGTGTGGCGTGTGCCGGTGGGGGTGTGGCGCATGCCGGGGGGAGTGTGGCACGTGCCGGGGTTCGGTGTTGACTTGTCTTGTTTTGCCAGGTGAGATGTGGGGCGGTGTGACACTGACCATCGTGGTGGAGCTGGTGGGGCCGGCGATCCGCTCCTGTGCCGTTGGCTTTTATCTCTTCATCATCTCCAACGTGGGGGGCAATGCCCCTCTGTTGCTGCCGGCGCTCAGCCAGCACTGGGGGCTACGGGGGGCATTGCTGCTGCTCTACCCTGGCACGTACCTCGCCGGTAAGCTTTCCCGCCCCCCACCCGTAACCACACCTGAACTCCATCCTTCGTAACTGCACCGAAACACCACCCCCATAACCTCACCCAAACCCCCCACAGCAGCTTCTATAGTGTTTGTTTAAAGTTGTCAATTAGCAGCGAGCAGGTATGCTCGTTGGGGTGGGAAGGTATACCCAGTGTGGGGGAGGGATGTGGCTGTGTGCCTGGGCACTGATGTAAACCCCTCTCTCTCTCTCTCTCTCTCTCTCCGCCCACCCCCCAGGCTCGCTGCTGTTCCTGCTGACGCTGTTTGTGCTACGCAGGGACCAGGAGACCAGTGAGGAGCGACGACCACTGCTCAGCTCCTCGTCGGGGGGGCAGGAGCACGAGGGGGGGCATCGGAAATATAGCTGAGCTGGGAGGGTGGGAGGGGGGGACATTGAGAGACATTGGGGGGGCAGCATCATCCAAGGAAAGGCTGGGAGCAAAACCCAGCTTCTGCTCCTCCGGCTTTCCCCCTCCCACAGCTTTCCCCCTCCCTATTGTAAGATTCCCAGATAAAAGGGACTGGGAGGAGGCAGGAGATCAGAGTCTGAGCACAGTGGGACGAGGGGTGAGACTAGGTATTTTATGAATGGTGGGAGTGTGTGATAATTGGTGCAGGTTACACTGAGCCACACACCACAGCCCCTTCCACCCCTCTCCCACATGTCTCTGAGCTGCACAGGAAAAATCTGATCCCCTTTGGGTATTTGAAGGACATAAACCAGACCCATGGTGGGGGGAGCGATGGTAGTGAGGAGGAGGGGGGGGTTCCTAGCTGGACAAGCAGTGTGAAAGTTTGCCAGACAAGGCCTTCAATGGCAAACCACATGGTTTAAGCTGGTTTTGACTCTTAGCAGTTACCCCAACGCGCACACTCTGGGGTCACCAATTCTTGGCTCTTGCCAATCTTTGCCGAGAAGCTGGACCGGCAGAAAGGTGACCTTCCCCTTCCCCTCCCATCCCAGAATCCGGACAGAAATGTGAGCAAAGATCCAGACGGAGGAGTGGATGATGAGAGGAACTGGCAGCCTCTGGAGAGAGATGATCTGAGACGTGTGTGGGGGTGGGGAGGAGAGGGGAGGGAGATGGAGTTAATTTGGAGCGAGCTACTCTATGTTGATTTGGAGTGAGCTGCTCTGTGTTCCCTGTAATATAATACAGATCTGTGATATTTCAGTCGTTTTTCTGTCTTTTTCTGTCTTTACCTTTTACGTTTCCCAACACACCAACGAGCTGGTTGCCCATGTTCTATGGATGTGAGTCTGGCTGTGTCTCTGAATATGCCGCACACACCGGGCAGTTCGGCATCGGTACCCCATGGTCAAGGTCAAGTTTACAGATTCACGGCCCGGTAGCTCCTGGGATCAGCCAGACAGTCAATGGGGGCAGGGAGTCCTCCCTCTCAGCTCCCGTTAACCGAGCAAGCCAAGGTTTATGGTAAGACAGTGGTTGAGGCAGTGATGGGAGTGAGTGTGTAACACAGTGTGTGGGTGACTGTAAGGCAGGTGTGGGTGTGCAAAGCGGTGTGGGTGGTTATGAGTGTGTGTGGGTGGGGGGGCGGAAGGCAGTTTGTGAGTGTAAGGCATTTGTGAGTGTGTAGGGTGGTATGGGTGTGTGTGAGTGACTTCCTTGAGTGTGAACAGGGCAGCCTGACACAGATTGCTTTACAGGAGCAATTAGTTGTGGGGACTTGGGTGGGGATTAAACTGGAGATGGAATCGACAGAGGGTCAAGGCCTCCATCACCGAGACACTCCCTTCGGGTCAGTGACGCCTCACCTCATCAGTGACTCCCCAAAACAGTCGGAGAGTGATCCTGGGCCCAGCTCAGCGACCATTTTAAAGTGATGTTGAGATAGGAGCTGGGAGGTTTTGTTAACGCTCAGGCTGGCTTTTGGTTCACAGTGAATCTGCATCTCCCCAAGGCAGCTTGTCCCACGATGTACAGACCTCCGGGATCCAGGGAATAACCAGCGGATGGTCACCTCGAGGCACTGTTTGGTTTGAACGGTTACACCTGAGCACGTCTGCAAATTTAGCTTGAGCAGTTGTGACACAAGACCAGGGGGAGACTGTGCGACCTGTAATTCCCCTGCTCCGTGAGGCCTGTTAGCAGAGCTCTGAGACTCTATGTGCGATCCGCGATTTAGACACACACCAGCTGGGAGTGAATGTTCCCTGTGACCTGGTGGGTAGACACACACACACACACACACACACACACACAGTACCACACAGACTGTCATTGTGCTGGTGGACACAAGAGGGCTTTGCTCCTCATGAGCCTCCGAGTCCTGAGCTCTGGTCTGGGAAGCAGCGATTAATCTCACGCAAATTGCTGGACTGTGTGAGATCCTCTGACTGTCCCGTTGCTCCTTATGGGAGACTGGAACACGTCAAAACTGGCACCTCCACATGGTGGAACCGTCGCTCAATAGGAAGGGACGTGTCCCTGAGCTGCGGACAGGAAGACGGTGGCAATTCTCTCACGGGTTTCATGCTGAGCTGTGTTGACCACCAGGAGCTTTGCAGTTCTTGGTACCTACCAACCACCGAGTGAGCGCTCAAACTCACTCTTGTTGAACATCGAATGAGCAACTAGTGACCACCCACCCCCCCACCACCTCCACTCCTTAGAGGAGAGATAAGCGGGGGGGGTCTCCTTGGAGCTGAACTGGCTCCAAGATGACACGCTTGGCAACAGAATGCCAGCCCTGTGTGGCAGTCTTGGTATTCCAACTCCTGAGCCAGGCGGGTCCGCAGTATAACGGGGCACTGCTGATGACAGCAGATGGAATTGCTGATGGAATGAGGTAAGGAGGATGTGTCCCTCCCGGGAGAGAGTGCGCATTCCATTCCAACAGTCTATGTCTGGAATTTCCACGTGTAGGTGGGATGCATGGAGTTCTCAGTTTGGTTTGGAGACTCTTAAGCATATGGGGATGGGTTTCTGGATGTGTCAGACACCCGGCCGACCCCCTTCTTCCCCCCCCCACCCCCAAAAAAAAAAGATACCGGGAGAAATTCCCTTCTCGTTTCAAATAGTATCACGGATTCATTAACCTCCAATTGAACGTGCCTGTGGGACCTTAGTTTAATATCACATCCTGCGACACAGAGTTTAGCAACCCACAACAACAACAACAACAACAACTTGCATTTATATAGCGCCCCTCACAAGGGGGTAGCTTCCCAGAGCGCTTGACTTCACTTCATTCCGTCTACTCTGCCTGCTCTCCCGTGCCCCCTCGCCCCGTGCCCTCGCTCCCTCACCCTGTGCCTGCGCTCCCTCGCCGTGTGCCCTCGCCCCATGCCCGCGCCCCCTCGCCCCGTGCCTGCACCCCGTACCTGCACCCCCTCGCCCCATGTCCCCGCGCCCCATGCCCGCGCCCCCTCGCCCCGTGCCTGCACCCCCTCGCCCCATGTCCCCGCGCCCCATGCCCGCGCCCCCTCGCCCAGCCTGAGTTTCTCGCCCAGCGCCCCCTCAGCCCATGCCCACGCCCCGTGCCGACTCTCTCTCTCTCTCTCTCTCTGCCCACTTTCTGTCTGTCTCTCTCTCTGTTCCCACCCTCCCCCTCCCTCGCTCGCTCCCCTGGCCGCAGGCTGGCTGAGCTGCTCTTCCTGTGAGCGAGAGGCAGGGCCGGAAGCTTTGCTGTTGACTCAGAGCCCCAGAGGGAGTGTGATCACTGTGTCAGCAGGTCAGGGGGCATCAGTAGGGAGACTTCCCACAGACTCTGTGTGGGGGAGACTCAGGCTATGTGTGTGTGTGTGTGTGTGTTTGTGGGAGAGACTCGGGTTGTGCGTGTGCATGCGTGTGTGTGCATGTGCGATTCGACCGCAAATCATTTTACAACATGTACCGTGAAGCGATTTGAGACGTCTCGAAGATGTGATAAGACGCTATGTCAGTGTGGAGAGAGACAGACACACACACACACACAAGCAAAGACAGAGAGAAGAGAGAGGATAGATAGAGAGAGATGCACACAAGCAGAGACGGAGAGAGGGACAGATAGATAGCGACAGACAGACACACACACACACACAGAAAGGGGCAGAGAAAGAAAGGGACAAAGGGAAAGATGTGAAGACAGAGATGGAGTGAGGGGGGAATGCGAGCCTGGTGGGCGTACAGCCTACTCGGGAGGAGCCTGGTTTAATCCCTGCTGCTCCTCTCACACACGTACAATAACGGTTCGGGCTTCGTGTGGAGCACAGCAGGACCCAACATGCCTGACAGCGAGGATGAAGCAGGAGAGATTCAAGGGGCAAGTCATAAAATATTGAGCGCAGCTCCCAGCCTCTCCCAGCCCCCAGGCTCACACTGCAGCACAGCACGGGTGGGGGTGGGGGGGGGGGGGGAGGGGGGGGGAATTTCTGCATTGCCAGAGGTGCCCTTCCTCAGGTGAGACATTAAACCGAGGTCCCGCCTGTGCCTGTTCAAGTGGATATTAAAGATCCCTCGCTGTTCAAAAACAGAAGGGAATTTCTCTCTCCCTGTGTCTTGGCCAACCACCCCCTCAAAAAAAACATCAGTCACTCACTCCATGGCTGCTTGCCGTGTGGGACACTGGCTGCCTTGGCTTGCCAATAAAACCAGTCACTACACTGGACAGTAATTACCATGAAGGGCTTTGAGACAGATCAACAAGATAACGGCAAAATGCAACTTCTCTCTCGAATCAATATTTGTGTTTGCAGCAACTAAAGCCCATAGATGTCCTGACAGCAAACATTCCTACAGCCCTGCCCCACGTCCTTGACATGTCGACCCCCTTCCCCAATCTCTTCCCCTCCTCTCCCCAGTTGCCTCCCCTCCCCAGCCGTGCTTACCTGCGGGCTGCTGCCTCCATACCCCATGGAGGACGTGGAGGTGACTGACATGCTGTGTGAGCCCATGGAGGAGCTGATGACGGAAAAAGGAGATGTCATCCCGTTGACAGGCGAGTGGAGCTGGGTGGGGGAGCCCAGTGAGGGGCTGACACCCGGCCCCAGGACCTGCGGGTGCAGTGAAGGTGCGTTCATCCCTCTGATGGGCACCACGTAATTCACCGGGTAATTCAGTGGCGGGGAGGAATCTAGAGAAAAAAACATTAAGAAAATAAACTTCAGAAAGAGAAAGGTGGGAATTTCCCACCCGTTAATCTAAATGGCTTTTATTTTTAATTAATCCCACTTTCCGTCTCTCTCTCTCCTCCCTCCATATTCCTCGATGCTCAGTTAGGATCCATGTCCATCCTGAACGATTCGATTGAACCGGTCATGAAGACCGACCGGTTTCAAGACCCTCCTCTTCGACCGTGCCTTTGGTCACTACTCTCCCCACTCTCCACCCCTCCCAATCCCAACCACCAGCTCATGTGTGGATCATTGACTGTCTAGTGAAGGGGAGAGCGAGCGAGCGGACGGCGAGCGAGTGCGGAGAGGGCGAGCGAGCGCGGGGAGGGCGAGCGCGGGGAAGGCGAGCGAGCGCGGGGAGGGCGAGCGAGCGCGGGGAGGGCGAGCGAGCGCGGGGAGGGCGAGCGAGCGCGGGGAGGGCGAGCGAGCGCGGGGAGGGCGAGCGAGCGCGGGAGGGCGAGCGAGCGCGGGGAGGGCGAGCGAGCGCGGGGAGGGCGAGCGAGCGAGGGCCGGGGCGAGAGCCGGGGAGAGAGAGCGAGGGCCGGGGAGAGAGAGCGAGGGCCGGGGAGAGAGAGAGCGAGGAGCGGGGAGAGAGCAAGAGAGCGAGTGAGAGAAGGAGGGTCAGGGGTAGCGAGGAGCAGCTGTGAAATAGCTGAACAGTGTGGCCAATCCCACACTGCACCGCCATCTCCCCAGTGACCACGAGCGACTGGCAGCGCACACACACACACACACACTCACACACACTCACACACACACACACACAGTCACACACACTCACACACTCACACACGAAAGCCTCAGCCAAGACAGAGCCATCAGCCTCCAAACACAGAACAGCAGAGGACTGTCCATCACCTTGAATTCAGTCACTAACAGCAATCCCCACCCCCCACCCCCCCCCCCCTCACCCCAGCGAGAGAGCAGGTTAGAGACGAGAGGCGTTAATCTCTACACTGTCCGTCCAGACTACCAGATCAGCGACGGCACTGATTAGAGACAGAATAAAGCTCACTCTGCGCCGTCCGCCCGCGCTCCCGGGGTGAGCGCTGCAGCACAGGTTAGAGCGAGAGTGGCGATGTGAAGCGCTGTGAGACGGCTCAAAGACGTGACGAGGCGCTACATCGAACGGAAGGGTCACACAAGAGCTCCCTCCGCACGGTCCGGTCCGGTCCGGTCCGTCCACACCCGCGGGTCAGCACGGGGCCGGCGAGGTTCCAGCTCGGATGGGTGGCTGCGCGTCAGCTGGTGAGACTGTGACAAGCTGAGTAATCGGAGACAGAGAGAGCAGCTGAGACCTGAGCCGGGAGGACGTTAGCGGGGGTGGGGGTGGGGATGGGGGGTGGGGTGGGGGGGTGGGGGAGGGTATGGACCCTGTACAGACAGGATACACGCAACACGGGTATCGGTAACCTGTGTGCAGGCAGCAGCCTGACAGTGCTACTGGTCTGTCACTCACACAGGCCAGTGTGGGGGGGGGTCAGCTCCCTGCGGTCAAGATCATAACACCTCTGTGGCTTCATTCTCTCGGCACTCACCACGTCCCCCCCCCCCCACCACCACGTTCCCCCCCCCCCCCACCCCAACACACACGCACACTCTCTGCAGAGAGTGAAGCTCTTTGAGACGTCTCTCAACAACGCGATGAGACACTGTTATCAAATGCAATTGTTAATATTATATTGCGCTTC